TACACACTAGATATACGTTAAGATACACACTAGATATACGTTGAGATACACACTAGATATACGTTAAGATACACACTAGATATACGTTAGATACACACTAGATATACGTTAAGATACACACTAGATATACGTTAAGATACACACTAGATATACGTTAAGATACACACTAGATATACGTTAAGATACACACTAGATATACGTTAAGATACACACTAGATATACGTTAAGATACACACTAGATATACGTTAAGATACACACTAGATATACGTTAAGATACACACTAGATATACGTTAAGATACACACTAGATATACGTTAAGATACACACTAGATATACGTTAAGATACACACTAGATATACGTTAAGATACACACTAGATATACGTTAAGATACACACTAGATATACGTTAAGATACACACTAGATATACGTTAAGATACACACTAGATATACGTTAAGATACACACTAGATATACGTTAAGATACACACTAGATATACGTTAAGATACACACTAGATATACGTTAAGATACACACTAGATATACGTTGAGATACACACTAGATATACGTTAAGATACACACTAGATATACGTTGAGATACACACTAGATATACGTTGAGATACACACTAGATATACGTTAAGATACACACTAGATATACGTTGAGATACACACTAGATATACGTTAAGATACACACTAGATATACGTTAAGATACACACTAGATATACGTTAAGATACACACTAGATATACGTTAAGATACACACTAGATATACGTTAAGATACACACTAGATATACGTTAAGATACACACTAGATATACGTTAAGATACACACTAGATATACGTTAAGATACACACTAGATATACGTTAAGATACACACTAGATATACGTTAAGATACACACTAGATATACGTTGAGATACACACTAGATATACGTTGAGATACACACTAGATATACGTTGAGATACACACTAGATATACGTTGAGATACACACTAGATATACGTTAAGATACACACTAGATATACGTTAAGATACACACTAGATATACGTTAAGATACACACTAGATATACGTTAAGATACACACTAGATATACGTTAAGAAACACACTAGATATACGTTAAGATACACACTAGATATACGTTGAGATACACACTAGATATACGTTAAGATACACACTAGATATACGTTGAGATACACACTAGATATACGTTAAGATACACACTAGATATACGTTGAGATACACACTAGATATACGTTAAGATACACACTAGATATACGTTGAGATACACACTAGATATACGTTAAGTGTCCCCGGTAGTCTTGGTATAATCTTACAACACACTAACGACTCGTTCCTACTATATAAACTACTATATAAACTACTATATAAACTACTATATAAACTACTATATATTACTGTTAGTACAGTCAAATTTGACTGTACTATGTATATAAACTACTATATAAACTACTATATAAGATATTATTATCAGGTGGAATGTAAGCGATAGTAGTAGTCCCTTACAAGTAGTATTATTGCAGTGTAATAGAGTAATCCCTATAATGCACTGTTATCTTGTTGTGTTCTTTAGATCCTAATGTTATCTTGTTGTGTTCTTTGATTTAGTGTAAAACTTGACTAAAGTTACAGTACACGCTACTATTAAGGTCCCTGTAACGTTACAGTACACACTACTATTAAGGTCCCTGTAACGTTACAGTACACACTACTATTAAGGTCCCTGTAACGTTACAGTACACGCTATTATTAAGGTCCGTGTAACGTTACAGTACACACTACTATTAAGGTCCCTGTAACGTTACAGTACACGCTACTATTAAGGTCCCTGTAACGTTACAGTACACGCTACTATTAAGGTCCCTGTAACGTTACAGTACACGCTACTATTAAGGTCCCTGTAACGTTACAGTACACGCTACTATTAAGGTCCCTGTAACGTTACAGTGCACACTACTATTAAGGTCCCTGTAACGTTACAGTACACGCTACTATTAAGGTCCCTGTAACGTTACAGTGTACACTATTTAACAAATCAGCCAGTCACTAGTTGTGATGTCATGACACGTGCCGCAACGCACCACGTGCGCACATCTCGCAATCATTTACACATAAATCTGTGCTAATAGCGCTAATCTATGTGTCTCTGAATATTGATTACGCTTTTCTTCTCATCTTTTATTGTTTATTCTTCATATTCTTTGTTTGGAAGTGTGTTTGCTGAACACACTCATATATACACTCTACAAGTCATGTAGCTGGGCTTGTGGACCAGTCTGCCTGTATTACCATGGTAACCGCACAGTCTGCCAGTATTACCATGGTAACCGCACAGTCTGCCAGTATTACCATGGTAACGGCACAGTCTGCCAGTATTACCATGGTAACCGCACAGTCTGCCAGTATTACCATGGTAACTGCACAGTCTGCCAGTATTACCATGGTAACTGCACAGTCTGCCAGTATTACCATGGTAACCGCACAGTCTGCCAGTATTACCATGGTAACCGCACAGTCTGCCAGTATTACCATGGTAACCGCACAGTCTGCCAGTATTACCATGGTAACCGCACAGTCTGCCAGTATTACCATGGTAACCGCACAGTCTGCCAGTATTACCATGGTAACCGCACAGTCTGCCAGTATTACCATGGTAACCGCACAGTCTGCCAGTATTACCATGGTAACCGCACAGTCTGCCAGTATTACCATGGTAACCGCACAGTCTGCCAGTATTACCATGGTAACCGCACAGTCTGCCTGTATTACCATGGTAACCGCACAGTCTGCCAGTATTACCATGGTAACCGCACAGTCTGCCAGTATTACCATGGTAACTGCACAGTCTGCCAGTATTACCATGGTAACTGCACAGTCTGCCAGTATTGTCACGTGTCAGGACGACCAGTATTGTCACTATTCTGGTACCCTCGCTTCTCCATTTCTTATAATCGACCATTACAGCAGACTACTGGGTGCAGAGCTCCTTACAAACTGTAATTATTAGCTAGTAGTAGTAGTAGCAAGCTACTGCTCCCGCTGCTATTATGCCCTGTGTATTGATTGTAAAGATAAGCCCTTATCAGCTCCGTAATGTTACAGTACACACACGGTACGTATTGTCACTATTACCATGGTAACCGTATTGTCACTATTACCATGGTAACCGTATTGTCACTATTACCATGGTAACCGTATTGTCACTATTACCATGGTAACCGTATTGTCACTATTACCATGGTAACCGTATTGTCACTATTACCATGGTAACCGTATTGTCACTATTACCATGGTAACCGTATTGTCACTATTACCATGGTAACCGTATTGTCACTATTGCTGTTCTTTGTTACAGACTTAGCTCTCCTTATTATAGTTGTGTTATTACTAGGGGACTAGCTTATTCTTAAGGGCCCTGCATACCAATAAGGTAATGTAACTATGGTTATCAATAAGGTATACTGTTTATTATAGGCACTAAGCACTAGGCAGGGGGATGCAGCTACTTTTGCAGCTAGTTTTGCAGCTAGTTTTGCAGCTACTTTTACAGCTACTTTTACAGCTACTTTTGCAGCTACTTTTGCGGTTATTTTTGCAGCTACTTTTGCAGCTACTTTTGCAGCTACTTTTGCAGTTACTTTTGCAGCTACTTTTGCAGTTACTTTTACAGCTACTTTTGCAGCTACTTTTGCAGCTACTTTTGCAACTACTTTCGCAGCTACTTTTGCAGCTACTTTTGCAGCTACTTTTACAGCTACTTTTGCAACTACTTTTGCAGCTACTTTTGCAGCTACTTTTGCAGTTACTTTTACAGCTACTTTTGCAGCTACTTTTGCAGCTACTTTTGCAGCTACTTTTGCAGCTACTTTTGCAGCTACTTTTGCAGCCACTTTCGCAGCTACTTTTACAGCTACTTTTGCAACTACTTTTGCAGCTACTTTTGCATCTACTTTTGCAGCTACTTTTGCAACTACTTTCGCAGCTACTTTTGCAGCTACTTTTGCAGCTACTTTTGCAGCTACTTTTGCATCTACTTTTGCAGCTACTTTTGCGGCTACTTTTGCGGCTACTTTCGCGGCTACTTTTGCAACTACTTTTGCAACTACTTTTGCAGCTACTTTTGCGGCTACTTTTGCGGCTACTTTCGCGGCTACTTTTGCAGCTACTTTTGCAGCTACTTTTGCAGCTACTTTTGAAGCTACTTTTGCAGCTACTTTTGCAGCTACTTTTGCAGCTACTTTTGCAGCTACTTTTGCAGCTACTTTTGCAGCTACTTTTGCAGCTACTTTTGCAACTACTTTTGCAGCTACTTTTGCAACTACTTTTGCAACTACTTTTGCAACTACTTTTGCGGCTACTTTTGCAGCTACTTTTGCAGCTACTTTTGCAGCTACTTTTGCAGCTACTTTTGCAGCTACTTTTGCAGCTACTTTTGAAGCTACTTTTGCAGCTACTTTTGCATCTACTTTTGCAGCTACTTTTGCGGCTGTTTTCGCGGCTACTTTTGCAGCTACTTTTACAGCTACTTTTGCGGCTACTTTTGCAGCTACTTTTGCAGCTACTTTTGCCGCTACTTTTGCAGCTACTTTTGCAGTTACTTTTGCAGCTACTTTTGCAGCTACTTTTGCAGCTACTTTTGCAGCTACTTTTGCAGCTACTTTTGCAGCTACTTTTGCGGCTACTTTTGCAGTTACTTTTGCAGCTACTTTAGCAACTACTTTTGCGGCTACTTTTGCAGCTACTTTTGCAGCTACTTTTGCAGCTACTTTCGCGGCTACTTTTGCAGCTACTTTTGCAGCTACTTTTGCAGCTACTTTTGCAGCTTACTGGGATTTTAAGCGGATTTTAAATAGTTATAACCCGATATTCTGGATATTTTGATTTACACTAAAATCTTTGAATATAAACTCTTGAGATCAAATCGGGGTTCCCAGTATAAATCGAGGTTTAGCTGATTTATTAATTAAATAACTTCAAAAGGGGATGGCGTGAGTGGCATGAGAAATAGAGACAATGTTTTACGGAAGCGGTCTTTTCCTTCTGAGCCTTATTGTGAGTAATACATTGCTACTAAAGTAACTATAGTTACTATAACAACCAGGGGCTGATTTGATCTTTTTGCCATTTGATGTGATGGAGTCCTTACTCATGATCATTTTACAACACTTGCAGTTTCTTCTGTGACAGGGTTCAGTTTTACCATGTTTAGCACCTAAGGCAAGCTGTTTAGATGTAACGAGGCGAGATCTAAGCGTAGATCCCGTTTTCAATTATATTAAAGATCTTACAGCAGATTTCCTGCTATGCCTTCTTCTGTAAAACACAACTTACTGTATACACACTGTAAAACACAACTTACTGTATACACAACTTGTTGATTACATAGGATTATAATAGTAGTAGCTATACAGTATAGTAGTAGTAAGGGTGCAATGTAATGACTGTTCCCTCCTTACAGGCGATATCGCACTGCTACCACAACCAGTTCGATAACAAGCAGTTCCACATATGGATGATAGAGGGCGCCAACAAGGACAACTCCTTCCATATGGATAGTAAGTGGTAACACCCTATTTTAACACGTGATGCCCAAATAAGGTAACACCCTATTTTAACACGTGATGCCCAAATAAGGTAACACCCTATTTTTTCCCGATCCATGACTCCTGTGTCGAAGGGGCACAAAAGAGTCAAAGACAAGGGTTAGCGAACGAGGTTTTTTTTTGTATATGGTAGCCTGTGTCTGTCGTCGTTGTCGTACGTACATACGTGCCCGCGTACACAGATGTCGCCCACGTTCCTTATAACTATTAACTGCGCAAAGTTATTTTGTGCGATATTCTAGATTCAAGTATTGTTGGTGCGCAGCGCTGAACTGATAAAGTGAATCGTTAATTTCACCATGTACGTATCCCACTAGACACTAATTGATAGCATATTATTTCAAGCTAGTATTACTTTTATGCACAAATCCGTGTCAGGTTGCATAAACAATAAACATATGGTTATATAGAAATCTACACGATTTTTAAAATCAAAATGAAATTAACTCGGCGGCGCTCGGCATATCTGCATGCTTATAAAAAGTAAAGCCTGGAGTCCCCTGGTTGCACGGAATATGATAAAATACGCCATCACAGATCGGGAAATTAAGCGGCCATTTCTTGTTATACCGTGCATTCTGACTTATAATTGGTTGGATTACTACCTGTTATATACATATAGATATCACCGCAGCCTTGAGGGCGGTACTAAATATTGCACGCGCGTGCGCGTGCAATATTTTATATCTCCACGAGGGCGCCAGCCCGAGGAGGAGATATTTTCGTATAGCACGGAGGGCCCAACGGGCCCGAGTGCTATACGATAGTTCCGCCCTCATGGCGAGGAATGATATCGTGTATATCCATGAGCGGGCGCTTCTCAAGTGTAGTTGTAATGCCACTAATTAGATGATCATTTACTAAGTTTTATAAATGTAAATATATCAACAATGTAATATATCCACAAGTGGGCGTTTATCACGAAGCTTCAGTTTCCAACAATCACAGCAAATTAATGTACAAGATTTCAGAAATTTTACGAGAAAATCATGTTGCTTTTAGTTTAAGATGTAGAACAGGCCAAAATGACTGACTATAGAACGAAAAACCGGCCGCTATCAAACAATGTTTCAGCTCATTGTTTCATGTACATATAATTTTATTGTAAACGATCAAAATATAGGCCCTCTCTCCCTCATCTCCTTATCTCCTTCTCACCCTCTCTCACTCTCTCCCTATCTTCCTTTCTCCTTCTCCCACTCTCCTTACCTCCCTCTCTCCCTCTATCACTCTCTCTTTATCTCCATCTCTCCTCGATCATCTCCCTCTCTCCTCCTATCCCTCTCTCCTCCTCTTCCTCTCTTTCTCTCCCTCTCTACTTCTCTACCTCTCTCCCTCCCTGGAACCAGAACAAGCACCGCCAGTCGCCACATAGCAGCTGCTACTACCACGTGAGTTGTCATTATCAGTTACCAGGGTAACCAGGGTTACCCGGGTAACCAGTTACTAGAGTTTCTGTAGCAGCTACTGAGTGACTGGACAATCAAAAGTAGTAACCCAGAGAGCTCGAGATCACAGTCTGATCATAGACATTGAATATGAAAGTTAAAGATCAAATTTATAACATCAATTTAAATGGCAGTTTCAAAACAAAAACAGGGCAAAATATCTTTCGGGAACACAATAGAATAACACGTAAAATGTCGGCCTAAATTTCAAGGTTTATCAACTGAAATAGTGAACTGAAAATGGTAAACACAAAACACAAAACAATTAACGATACTGGAAAATATCACCGGCTTAGACTTAACGTCTCCACGAATTTGGTAACCATAGTAACAGTGTGTCACGTGTTAATTATGAGCCAATCATGGCAACCTGCGTGATATAAGGTAAGCTCAGAGTTCAGAGTTGATCATGTACATTCTTTACATCCACATATTGCCGTGGGAACTATTAAAGTGTGCTGTGTAATGTGTAAGTGTGGATCAATAACACTGTTCAGTGTTTAGATTTCATGTCATCTGCTCACGAGATGTATCATCAGCCCTACCGGACACAAAAATTTATCGCTACTGGACAAATTTCATGCGGGTTATATTGGCTGTATTGTTACTTGTCACGTTAAGTGTCGTCTGCTCGCGTGCTGTATTTTAAGCGGGCTGGACGCGCACTGTGTCTTGTAACATCGGGCTGCGAGTGCTCAGATGACAAAATATAGCCCGCTGGTGGATATAGGTTGTTATACCGTGCATTGGTTTGTGTCAGGCGATACAGTAACTTAGCAGTTAGTAAACTTATATAATATATATAATATATATTACAAGTATAAACTATAATTTGCATCCCTCCTCAGACATTAACTTCGTGTGGTTGAACCCGGACCCGAATGCCCCTCAAGAAGATGATTTTGTCCCCGAACCTAAGGCGATTCAGGGGAAAGAGTTCAGGGTGAAATACGAGATGCAGTGGAAGGACCAGGAAGAACAAGACAATTTCTTTGAGGAGTTGATAACCAAGGGCTGGCTGGATGCAGTCACCACGTAAGTGCCTTATTAGGGCATCTCGTGGATTAAACAGGATTAAACATAAATGTATCCTTCTAAATATCATGATAAGATCACTTAAGTCGTTTCAATTCGAAATTTTATTTTTTTCAGTTTCTGTTGGTCCAGTATTAGCTGGTCCGGTTCTAATTAAGTAGATTATTGTGTGTAGTAGTACTAGTAGGACTACAGTAACTAGTAGTGAATAACACATAGTTATAATAATAATAACACTGTTTTCAGCGTCCCAGAAGCCAAGGAGTTTTGCAACAGAACGTGCGGCAATGCTGGCAGTGCTAATAAAGATAACTGCTGTATTCACCACATCAACATCCACTCCTGCCCACAAGCCGCGGTAATCTTGATAAAGGAGCAGTTCACACTGACTTCCCTGCTATTACTGCTATTCTGTGGGTGGGGTGGGGTGGGGTGGGGTGGGGTGGGGTGGGGTGGGGTGGGTACTATTTACATGTCTGGATAATAGCAGTGGGATCTTGTGTGAGATATGGCTCACTGTTTGGTGGGGTGGGGTGGGGTGGGGTGGGGTGGGGTGGGGTGGGGTGGGGTGGGGTACTATTAACATGTCTGGATAATAGCAGTGTGATCTTGTGTGAGATATGGCTCACTGTTTGGTGGGGTGGGGTGGGGTGGGGTGGGGTGGGGTGGGGTGGGGTACTATTAACATGTCTGGATAATAGCAGTGTGATCTTGTGTGAGATATGGCTCACTGTTTGTTATTTTCAGTTAGGAAGTGACATGTGCGGACCCTGGATACCTGACGGAGGTGTTTTCACTCACACCGCTTCTCTGGCATCGCCCATACAGCCCTGGACTACTAATGTTATCCTCACTGAGGAAGGACATAATTTTATCATTGCTCACATTAGAATTGGAGCGATACAGATGGCTTTGGGGCACAAAATCCTGGTTTATCCGAAACCAAGTAATGACCCCTTTGTTACCATAGAAACGGTGAAACTCTTCAATTCCTTTTAGATTGTAGAATTAAGCTTCTAACTTGCGGCAATTTGTAATCTCCCTATTCTTCAGATTGTGGCGATGGATTTTGTGCTGTAAACTCGGGTGAGACCTGTGAGAATTGTAAGCAGGACTGCTGCGCCGGCCTCTCCACGACTATTATCATCGTTATCATCGTGATCAGTTGTCTGCTTATACTAGCCCTCACCCTTATACCTGCTGTAAGTAGTTATCAGTTGTCTGCTTATACTAGCCCTCACCCTTATACCTGCTGTAAGTAGTTATCAGCTGTCTGCTTATACTAGCCCTCACCCTTATACCTGCTGTAAGTAGTTATCAGTTGTCTGCTTATACTAGCCCTCACCCTTATACCTGCTGTAAGTAGTTATCAGCTGTCTGCTTATACTAGCCCTCACCCTTATACCTGCTGTAAGTAGTTATCAGTTGTCTGCTTATACTAGCCCTCACCCTTATACCTGCTGTAAGTAGTTATCAGTTGTCTGCTTATACTAGCCCTCACCCTTATACCTGCTGTAAGTATCTCTCTCTCTCTCTCTCTCTCTCTCTCTCTCTCTCTCTCTCTCTCTCTCTCTCTCTCTCTCTCTCTCTCTCTCTCTCTCTCTCTCTCTCTCTCTCTCTCTCTCTCTCTCTCTCTCTCTCTCTCTCTCTCTCTCTCTCTCTCTCTCTCTCTCTCTCTCTCTCTCTCTCTCTCTCTCTCTCTCTCTCTCTCTCTCTCTCTCTCTCTCTCTCTCTCTCTCTCTCTCTCTCTCTCTCTCTCTCTCTCTCTCTCTCTCTCTCTCTCTCTCTTTTTTCACCCTCGCTGTTCTTCCCTCACTTCCCTTGTGTGTTACTACATTAACCGCGGTAACCATGGTAACTATTTCAGGTGTGGTACTACCAGAAGCAGAAGTTCCTATACGATGAAACTTGGATTGTAGACTGGGACAATATAAAACCCAGTACAGGTTACAAAGGGTTCGGGTCCGTGAGGAGCATCCAGAGTACCATGTTGTCCCAGACCAGTATGGGCCAGAATGGGGGCATCAACCCTCCCCCTGTTAGAGGCCAGATATTCTGCGAAACTGGAATCTTGTGAGTTTGAGTGAGGAACCTTGTCCTTCTCTATACTTCCTTCAACAAGAATACTTAATTATCCTCTTTTATTTCAGGGGATTTTGTTATTTTTGCTTTTTTGACATTAAGTTTTTATACATTTCATATACTACTCGCCCTCTTTTCACCCTCTTATTAAACCGTAACATTTCAGCGAAGGGAAAGTAGTGTCTATAAAGAAGATAGCTAAAATGCAATTCCAGCTGAACCGCTCCACGCGAATAGAAATAAGAAATGTCAGGTCAGTATTTCATCTAGCTGATACGAGCTGCACTATCTAGTTACTATAGCAACAACTATCTAGTTACTATAGCAACAACTTTCTAGTTACTATAGCAACAACTATCTAGTTACTATGGAAACACGCGTCAAGTTGCTATAACAAGTGCTATCTAGTTACTATGGAAACAACTTTCTAGTTTAATATAGCTATAATTATAGTTATTATAGCTACAATTATTCAAGCTATACTTCTTTCGAGATTATTTTTGTACCACTTTAAAATCAGCTGTTTATATTTTACTTTATTTTCCTATGAATTGCACAGGGCCTTGGACCACATGAACCTGTCCAAGTTTATGGGAATAATGACTGATATGGAGAACTTCTCTATAATAACTAATTGCTCAGGGCCCTGGACCACATGAACCTGTCCAAGTTTATGGGAATAGTGACTGATATCGAGAACTTCTCTATAATAACTGAGTACTGCAACAAAGGATCCCTCAATGACGTCCTCTTAAACGACGAGATCCCTTTAAATTGGGGATTCAGGTAATTTACATGAAAATATCATTACTTTATTATACTTTAAATTGGGGATTCAGGTAATTTACAGGAAAATATCATTACTTTATTATACTTTAAATTGGGGATTCAGGTAATTTACATGAAAATATCATTACTTTATTATACTTTAAATTGGGGATTCAGGTAATTTACATGAAAATATCATTACTTTATTATACTTTAAATTGGGGATTCAGGTAATTTACATGAAAATATCATTACTTTATTATGCTTTAAACTGGGGATTCAGGTAATTTACATGAAAATATCATTACTTTATTATACTTTAAATTGGGGATTCAGGTAATTTACATGAAAATATCATTACTTTATTATACTTTAAATTGGGGATTCAGGTAATTTACATGAAAATATCATTACTTTATTATACTTTAAATTGGGGATTCAGGTAATTTACATGAAAATATCATTACTTTATTATGCTTTAAACTGGGGATTCAGGTAATTTACATGAAAATATCATTACTTTATTATACTTTAAATTGGGGATTCAGGTAATTTACATGAAAATATCATTACTTTATTATACTTTAAACTGGGAATTCAGGTAATTTACATGAAAATATCATTACTTTATTATACTTTAAATTGGGGATTCAGGTAATTTACATGAAAATATCATTACTTTATTATACTTTAAACTGGGAATTCAGGTAATTTACATAAAAATATCATTACTTTATTATACTTTAAATTGGGGATTCAGGTAATTTACATAAAAATATCATTACTTTATTATACTTTAAATTGGGGATTCAGGTAATTTACATGAAAATATCATTACTTTATTAAACTTTAAATTGGGGATTCAGGTAATTTACATGAAAATATCATTACTTTATTATACTTTAAACTGGGGATTCAGGTAATTTACATAAAAATATCATTACTTTATTATACTTTAAATTGGGGATTCAGGTAATTTACATGAAAATATCATTACTTTATTATACTTTAAATTGGGGATTCAGGTAATTTACATGAAAATATCATTACTTTATTATACTTTAAACTGGGGATTAAGGTAATTTACATGAAAATATCATTACTTTATCATACTTTAAATTGGGGATTCAGGTAATTTACATAAAAATATCATTACTTTATTATACTTTAAATTGGGGATTCAGGTAATTTACATGAAAATATCATTACTTTATTATACTTTAAATTGGGGATTCAGGTAATTTACATGAAAATATCATTACTTTATTATACTTTAAATTGGGGATTCAGGTAATTTACAGGAAAATATCATTACTTTATTATACTTTAAACTGGGGATTCAGGTAATTTACATGAAAATATCATTACTTTATCATACTTTAAATTGGGGATTCAGGTAATTTACATGAAAATATCATTACTTTATTATACTTTAAATTGGGGATTCAGGTAATTTACAGGAAAATATCATTACTTTATTATAATCATTTATTTAGTTGGCGACAGTGCTGTGGTATGAACTATAGCTACTTAAAGTAAACCTGTTACAAGTTGCTCATGTTATTATTTAGCATAGTTACTTGTTGCAGATTACTTAGGTTATAGGTTATATAACTTATGTACTAAAGTTATGTACTAAAGTATTTACTAGTATGGTTATTTAAGTTACTATGGTTACTATGGTTACTATGGTTACTATAGTTACTAAAGATACTATCATCTCAGGTTATCATTTGCTCAAGACGTATGTCGGGGTATGGAGTATTTACACAACCATAAAATGTTCCATGGCCGGTTGAAGAGCAGCAACTGTATTATTGATGACAGATGGGTCTGCAAAATAACAGGCTAGTTTTTATTCGGCTCTTTTAGAACTTCAACTAATTGTGAGCGGACACTCTCTTTTTATCCCTGGTTATCATTTAGATGTATGTATATATTGTGTATACATAAATTATGTGTATTTTGTATATTACGTAACCCTTCCTCTCTGAACCGCCCTCTTCGCCGAAAGGCATGAAGTAAAATCAGATGTACAAATATGTACTTTGTTTCAATTAATGTGCGAATTGTCTCAGATTTCGGTTTACCGGACGTGAGAAGACCAGATGATGATCCTGAGCTTGGGGAACAGTTTGGTTCGATCAGAGAGAAAAGGATCAACAGGTTGGTAGATATAGCCACTATTTCTAGTAACCATGGTGACAACTAGTTACTAGTTACTATAGATACTATTTACAATGGTTACTGTAGTCACTAGTTACTTTGATTTCATGGTTATCCAAAGTGCCCAGTCTCAATCTTATCATATTATGATCTATCTGTTAAGAAAGAAATACCACTGATAAAGCTTTCATTAATGAAGCACACATTGTATAACCCTCTTTAAGTCTGTACATCACTAGTATGTGTTACTATGGTAGCTAGTTGTATGTGTAGAAAACTACTCGTATACTGTCTTACTGTTAGAGTAGTAGTAGTAGTAGTAGTAGTAGTAGTAGTAGTAGTAGTAGTAGTAGTAGTAGTAGTAGTAGTAGTAGTAGTAGTAGTAGTAGTAGTAGTAGTAGTAGTAGTAGTAGTAGTAGTAGTAGTAGTAGTAGTAGTAGTAGTAGTAGTAGTAGTAGTAGTAGTAGTAGCTCCGCGCTGTCTTAGTTTATCATATTATTAAGACTTAATACTAGGTAACCTACAGGAATGTCTTTACACATCTGCTTTGTCTGAACCAATCGCATCCCTTGAGCGTGCGTCACGCGTCATGTTACTATGGTAACACGTCATGTAACTAGGGCGACTATTTGATCGATACACAACGAGCGAATCACCAAAAAGTCACCCTCAGTTACCATTTGGAATGTAGTCTGTAGATTCGTAAGAGCTATAGTTTTAGTTCTCAAGCCGCCTTAGAGGCGTAATGACACTGTTAGAAGCGTAGTGACACTGTTAGAGGTGTAGTGACACTGTTAGAAGTGTAGTGACACTGTTAGAAGTGTAGTGACACTGTTAGAAGTGTAGTGACACTGTTAGAAGTGTAGTGACACTGTTAGAGGTGTAGTGACACTGTTAGAGGTGTAGTGACACTGTTAGAGGCGTAGTGACACTGTTAGAAGTGTAGTGACACTGTTAGAGGCGTAGTGACACTGTTAGAGGCGTAATGACACTGTTAGAGGCGTAGTGACACTGTTAGAGGCGTAATGACACTGTTAGAAGTGTAGTGACACTGTTAGAGGCGTAGTGACACTGTTAGAAGTGTAGTGACACTGTTAGAGGCGTAGTAACACTGTTAGAAGTGTAGTGACACTGTTAGAAGTGTAGTGACACTGTTAGAAGTGTAGTGACACTGTTAGAGGTGTAGTGACACTGTTAGAGGTGTAGTGACACTGTTAGAGGCGTAGTAACACTGTTAGAAGTGTAGTGACACTGTTAGAAGTGTAGTGACACTGTTAGAAGTGTAGTGACACTGTTAGAGGTGTAGTGACACTGTTAGAGGTGTAGTGACACTGTTAGAGGTGTAGTGACACTGTTAGAGGTGTAGTGACACTGTTAGAAGTGTAGTGACACTGTTAGAAGTGTAGTGACACTGTTAGTGGTGTAGTGACACTGTTAGAGGCGTAGTGACACTGTTAGTGGCGTAGTGACACTGTTAGAGGCGTAGTGACACTGTTAGAGGTGTAGTGACACTGTTAGAGGTGTAGTGACACTGTTAGAGGTGTAGTGACACTGTTAGAGGTGTAGTGACACTGTTAGAGGCGTAATGACACTGTTAGAAGTGTAGTGACACTGTTAGAAGTGTAGTGACACTGTTAGAAGTGTAGTGACACTGTTAGAAGTGTAGTGACACTGTTAGAAGTGTAGTGACACTGTTAGAAGTGTAGTGACACTGTTAGAGGTGTAGTGACACTGTTAGAGGTGTAGTGACACTGTTAGAAGGGTTACGTTTTGTTGTGTATCAGATCCAGTTAATGTAGAGACCTAGTAGTTATTATGGTTACTGTGGTTACTGTAGTTACTGTTGTTACTGTAGACTTGTAATAATGAACGTGGTAACCTGGCCTATGTAGTATGTAAGCTAGGTAACCCATGTAGTATGTAAGCTAGGTAACCTATGTAGTATGTAAGCTAGGTAACCTATGTAGTATGTAAGCTAGGTAACCTATGTAGTATGTAAGCTAGGTAACCTATGTAGTATGTAAGCTAGGTAACCTATGTAGTATGTAAGCTAGGTAACCTATGTAGTATGTAAGCTAGGTAACCTATGTAGTATGTAAGCTAGGTAACCTATGTAGTATGTAAGCTAGGTAACCTATGTAGTATGTAAGCTAGGTAACCTATGTAGTATGTAAGCTAGGTAACCTATGTAGTATGTAAGCTAGGTAACCTATGTAGTATGTAAGCTAGGTAACTAGGTAACTAGGTAACTAGGTAACCTCCCTTCAAGCATGTTACCCAAACAAGCATCAAATTTAGTTTAACTGAATTTTATTTGGATGTCAAAAAAGCGTATTTATCATAATATATTATGATCCTTTTGATCGTTTGAGAAATCAGAAAGTATATTTGTTTGTTTGAGAAAATAAAATATGGCAAGGCTTAAGATTCTTATACCATATCACTGGTAACTGGTAAGCATGGTCGTTAGTTACTATCTAACAAATTAATTAGTTGCTATGGTAACTATGTTTCATCACACGCAAGTACTGATAATGATTTGACCCCTGAGGTAATGTTGCTAACAGAGCTAAATTTAAGCAGGAAGGGTAGCAAGAAGGGACACAAATCAAGTCTAAAGTGAGTTTCTATAGTAACGCTGGTCACTTGGCCGCTTGATATGACCATGTGATCAGTGTGACTATGTTGTCTTGGGAAGTCTTCTGATCCTCTCTATTTGATAGTCAATCTTTACAATCACATTAAGAGATTAAGTATCACTCACTCACATTGTATTATAATTTGTCATAAAAGAGTGTCACCCTCACCTCTAAACCCCCCTCACCTCTAAACCCCCCTCACATCTAAACCCCCTCACCTCTAAACCCCCCTCACCTCTAAACCCCCCTCACATCTAAACCCCCTCACCTCTAAACCCCCCTCACCTCTAAACCCCCCTCACCTCTAAACCCCCCTCACCTCTAAACCCCCCTCACATCTAAACCCCCTCACCTCTAAACCCCCTCACCTCTTAACCCCCCTCACCTCTAAACCCCCTCACCTCTAAACCCCCCTCACCTCTAAACCCCCCTCACCTCTAAACCCCCTCACCTCTAAACCCCCCTCACCTCTAAACCCCCCTCAACTCTAAACCCCCCTCACCTCTAAACCCCCTCACCTCTAAACCCCCCTCACCTCTAAACCCCCCTCACCTCTAAACCCCCTCACCTCTAAACCCCCCTCACCTCTAAACCCCCCTCACCTCTAAACCCCCTCACCTCTAAACCCCCCTCACCTCTAAACCCCCCTCACCTCTAAACCCCCCTCACCTCTAAACCCCCCTCACCTCTAAACCCCCCTCACCTCTAAACCCCCCTCACCTCTAAACCCCCCTCACCTCTAAACCCACTCACCTCTAAACCCCCTCACCTCTAAACCCCCTCACCTCTAAACCCCCCTCACCTCTAAACCCCCCTCACCTCTAAACCCCCCTCACCTCTAAACCCCCCTCACATCTAAACCCCCCTCACCTCTAAACCCCCCTCACCTCTAAACCCCCCTCACCTCTAAACCCCCCTCACCTCTAAACCCCCCTCACATCTAAACCCCCCTCACCTCTAAACCCCCCTCACCTCTAAACCCCCCTCACCTCTAAACCCCCTCACCTCTAAACCCCCCTCACCTCTAAACCCCCCTCACCTCTAAACCCCCCTCACCTCTAAACCCCCCCTCACCTCTAAACCCCCCTCACCTCTAAACCCCCCTCACCTCTAAACCCCCCTCACCTCTAAACCCCCCTCACCTCTAAACCCCCCTCACCTCTAAACCCCCCTCACCTCTAAACCCCCCTCACCTCTAAACCCCCCTCACCTCTAAACCCCCTCACCTCTAAACCCCCTCACCTCTAAACCCCCCTCACCTCTAAACCCCCCTCACCTCTAAACCCCCCTCACCTCTAAACCCCCCTCACCTCTAAACCCCCCTCACCTCTAAACCCCACTCACCTCTAAACCCCCCTCACCTCTAAACCCCCCTCACCTCTAAACCCCCCTCACCTCTAAACCCCCCTCACCTCTAAACCCCCCTCACCTCTAAACCCCCCTCACCTCTAAACCCCCCTCACCTCTAAACCCCCCTCACCTCTAAACCCCCCTCACCTCTAAACCCCCCTCACCTCTAAACCCCCCTCACCTCTAAACCCCCCTCACCTCTAAACCCCCCTCACCTCTAAACCCCCTCACCTCTAAAGCCCCCTCACCTCTAAACCCCCCTCACCTCTAAACCCCCCTCACCTCTAAACCCCCCTCACATCTAAACCCCCCTCACCTCTAAACCCCCCTCACCTCTAAACCCCCCTCACCTCTAAACCCCCTCACCTCTAAACCCCCCTCACCTCTAAACCCCCCTCACCTCTAAACCCCCCTCACCTCTAAACCCCCCTCACCTCTAAACCCCCCTCACCTCTAAACCCCCCTCACCTCTAAACCCTCCTCACCTCTAAACCCCCCTCACCTCTAAACCCCCCTCACATCTAAACCCCCCTCACCTCTAAACCCCCCTCACCTCTAAACCCCCCTCACCTCTAAACCCCCTCACCTCTAAACCCCCCTCACCTCTAAACCCCCTCACCTCTAAACCCCCCTCACCTCTAAACCCCCTCACCTCTAAACCCCCCTCAACTCTAAACCCCCCTCACCTCTAAACCCCCCTCACATCTAAACCCCCCTCACCTCTAAACCCCCCTCACCTCTAAACCCCCCTCACCTCTAAACCCCCCTCACCTCTAAACCCCACTCACCTCTAAACCCCCCTCACATCTAAACCCCCCTCACCTCTAAACCCCCCTCACCTCTAAACCCCCCTCACCTCTAAACCCCCCTCACCTCTAAACCCCCCTCACCTCTAAACCCCCCTCACGTCTAAACCCCCCTCACCTCTAAACCCCCCTCACCTCTAAACCCCCCACCTCTAAACCCCCCTCACCTCTAAACCCCCCTCACCTCTAAACCCCCCTCACATCTAAACCCCCCTCACCTCTAAACCCCCCTCACCTCAAAACCTTCCTCACCTCTAAACCCCCCTCACCTCTAAACCCCCCTCACATCTAAACCCCCCTCACCTCTAAACCCCCCTCACCTCTAAACCCCCCTCACCTCTAAACCCCCTCACCTCTAAACCCCCCTCACCTCTAAACCCCCTCACCTCTAAACCCCCCTCACCTCTAAACCCCCCTCACCTCTAAACCCCCCTCAACTCTAAACCCCCCTCACCTCTAAACCCCCCTCACATCTAAACCCCCCTCACCTCTAAACCCCCCTCACCTCTAAACCCCCCTCACCTCTAAACCCCCCTCACCTCTAAACCCCCCTCACCTCTAAACCCCCCTCACATCTAAACCCCCCTCACCTCTAAACCCCCCTCACCTCTAAACCCCCCTCACCTCTAAACCCCCCTCACATCTAAACCCCCCTCACCTCTAAACCCCCCTCACCTCTAAACCCCCCTCACCTCTAAACCCCCCTCACCTCTAAACCCTCCTCACCTCTAAACCCCCCTCACTTCTAAACCCCCCTCACCTCTAAACCCCCCTCACCTCTAAACCCCCCTCACCTCTAAACCCCCACCCCCCCCCCCTCACCTCTAAACCCTCCTCTAAAAGCACATTTAAAGCATTTAGCCGTCTTCTCCTTTCACTTTTCAAGAGTGAGTTACTAATGCAAATGGTTACTAGCTCTCTAAAGGACCAACTATTTCCTAATATCATACATATTACTACATATTACTACATATTACTACATATTACTACATATTACTACATATTACTACATATTACTACATATTACTGCATATTACTACATATTACTACATATTACTACATATTACTACATATTACTGCATATTACTGCATATTACTACATATTACTGCATAGTACTGCATATTACTACATATTACTACATATTACTGCATATTACTACATATTACTACATATTACTACATATTACTACATATTACTGCATATTACTGCATATTTCTACATATTACTGCATATTACTGCATATTACTACATATTACTACATATTACTGCATATTACTAAATATTACTACATATTACTACATATTACTACATATTACTACATATTACTACACATTACTACACATTACTACATATTACTACATATCACAGTAAGTAAGTCACTATTAAACTTTATAAACCTCAACACATCCCATACAACTCCATATTATGTGATTATCGTGGTATCTCGTCCAGTTTCTCTACCATTATCTCCTTATCATTCTTAGAAGACGTTAAAATTAAAACAGCAAAAAGAGCACTAGCATTAAATAAAGTTTGGTGACTGGTGCCAGTCACCATGGTAACAAAGTGTATCTCAGCTGATCAGTGGTCATTTACTGCCGACAACATTCTCTCTTTTGCTTTTCTTGACTACATGGTTTAAAGTAGCGACCTTAACGTGGTTATCTTTTAGTGTAAACATAATCTTCAACCTTATCTAATTCGTTCTCTTAGTGCAGCCTACTCAGTTCTCTGGACCATTGTGCAGCGGTAGTTTCTAGTTTCTAGGTTCTTAATCTAGACACCGGTTAGTTTGATTGAAGCATTTTCTCTCTGTCTCTCTCTGCGTGGGAAGTACTGATTCTTGCTGCACGTGCGAGCCGCGCACTGTACGTGCGAGTAGTGTACTGCACGTGCTAGTAACGCATTGCACGTGCAAGCCGCGCACTGCATGGGACAGATAAGCACTATTGTGTAACAGTAATTATCTTGTGGTGATACAGAATGAACAGGCGGATATCTGGATTGTTGAGCTCGAATAAGAAGGACGTTGAAGCGGATAATGAGATGTCGCACCGGGACTCGGACAGTCCCTTGCCTATACTCCTGTCACGTGAAGATAAAATGAACAGGTAAAAATACGGTATAACTTCACGTGAAGCGTGCAGTCTATTATTGCACGTGAGAAGCTGAAATCACCATGATAACGTGAATGTGGTTCCTTTTGTATGATCATATTAGTAGGTAGTCTTTGTAGAAAAAGGCCTGTAATTTGTAAAGCTGCTTCATGAGCGTACTATGTACTATAATCTATATATGTATGTACTATTTATGTATGTACTACTATAATACATATATATATATAATATGTCATGTTAATGCAAACTACTGAATAAATAACCCCAGCACAGCTTCTATAATCCCGGCCCGCTAATTTGGCTCAACAAGATTTGTTTTGTTTTGATATTCCATGATAATTTCATCCGCGCACTGTCACGTGTTTTGATGACGTGTATCACGTGACTAACTACTACGACGCGTAGTAGTTATTCCCGAGATCCATTGACAACAGTTCTCCACAGCTTTCTGTCCTCCATCAGTCTAGCTATCTCATCTACTGATTTCAGCCGTAGTACCTTTATTTATCTAGTAGTATAATAGACTCTCCAATTCCATTTCATATTTTCCATATAGCTAGAATAGTAAAATGTAAAATTTGTTGGTCCTAGCACTAACCAGGAGGAGGGGTTTATAACACAAAACACCGGCACGCTTAAGTTATCTTAAAATAATCCCTCATGCTAAAGCACGTCGGGGTTATTTTCAATGTTTCCCGCGGGAAAAATTGAAGTATAATCCTTGCGCATGCCGGAGATATGTGTGTAATAGTACTAACAAACACTCTAGAAGATATGTGGCGGAGATATGTGTGTTATAGTACTAACAAACACTCTAGTAGATATGTGGCGGAGATATGTGTGTTATAGTACTAACAAACACTCTAGTAGATATGTGGCGGAGATATGTGTGTTATAGTACTAACAAACACTCTAGTAGATATGTGGCGGAGATATGTGTGTTATAGTACTAACAAACACTCCCTTGGCTAGGAACACTAGTAGACTATTGTGTTCAAAAGTTGGCCCAATGCCAACAATTTCAACTACTGAGACACCTGATAAGTCGTAAGTCAGAGCTCTAAAACCCATTGCTCTAAGCCCGCCTCTATGTTGTCATGATGACAAGTATTGCTTTAAGCCTGCCTCTACTTTGTCATGGTGACAAGTATAAAATAATACTCTAAGCCTGCCTCTACATTGTCATGGTGAAAAGTATAAAATAATACTCTAAGCCTGCCTCTACGTTGTCATGGTGACAAGTATAAAATAATACTCTAAGCCTGCCTCTACATTGTCATGGTGAAAAGTATAAAATAATACTCTAAGCCTGCCTCTACATTGTCATGGTGACAAGTATTGCTCTAAGCCCGCCTCTACGTTGTCATGGTGACAAGTTTACAATATTACTCTAAGCCTACCTATACGTTGTCATGGTGACAAGCATTACTCTAACCCTGCATCTCCGTTGTCATGGTGACAAGTATAAAATATTAATCTAATCCTGCCTCTAAGTTGTCATCGTGGCAAGTAATACTCTAAGCCTGCCTATACGTTTTCATGATGACAAGTATAAAATATTACTCTAAGCCTGCCTCTACGTTGTCATGGTGACAAATATTACTCTAATCATGCCTCTACGTTGTCATGGTGACAAATATTACTCTAAGCATGCCTCTACGTTGTCATGGTGACAAGTATTACTCTAAGCCAGCCTCTACGTTGTCATGGTGACAAGTATTACTCTAAGCCTGCCTCTACGTTTTCATGGTGACAAGTATTACTCTAAGCCTGCCTCTACGTTGTCATGGTGACAAGTATTACTCTAAGCCTGCCTCTACGTTTTCATGGTGACAAGTATTACTCTTAGAAATAGGAGTAGCACCGTTTACATAATAATTCATCTTGCTTACTGTGGGGTACACTTAATAATTCATCTTATCAGATAAAATAGGCTGAGCTGCGAATCGTTTGATTTTTATCACTTATAATTGGTGTTAAACAAGTATTTACCCTAGAAGTTGTATCTATCTTTTACTTGTTGTTATTACCAAGTTTCCAGTTCTATTACTTGTCAGCGTTATAAGATAACAAACATACTACGCCGCTGGTTTGGGATACCTTCTCTGCTACACAGAGTCAGCTATCTCTGCTGCTACATATTACACTGTAAAACTAACTCTTTATCCTTTTTAATATACTTTTGTTATAAGTTATAACACAGTTATAACACAGAGTTTAATATACTTTTACCCACATTTCAACACGAGCCGCTCACTGATAAAGATGAAATACTCTAGTAGCAGGGTGCAGTTGAGTGTGATAAAGATGAAATACAAATGCATTCATTTCTTTTTTAATTTCTTCGTACGAGACAAATAGCGTTTTATAACACTATTCTTAGTGTTAATTTTAAATGATGGGCTACATAAGTTGTTATCAGTGGCGTAACGTTGCCATGGTAACGTTATCAGTGGCGTTACCATTAGTTTCATTACTTTTTATATAATCAGATCTGTTGGGATACAAGTTGATCATTATTGCTATTCTAGACAAATGTTAAGTTAGTATGAGCACATTAGGCCAGCACTCTCCCAAATGAAGCGGTGTGTACTCAGTACTACTACTAATGAAATAGTAGTAGTAAATACTCTAGTAGCAGGGTGTAGTTGCGGTGTGTGCTCCTTTGTAAATTATTCTTTCTCAGAGTGTACAGACCTCCTGAAGCAAACACTGACGAAACGCAGATATACCAGCCAACTACAGATGTGTACAGTTTCGCAATCATACTCATAGAGATCGGAGGCAGAACTGAAATATCACCACCGGTATGTGAATTCAGTCAGTCAGTCAGTCAGTCAGTCAGTCAGTCAGTCAGTCAGTCAGTCAGTCAGTCAGTCAGTCAGTCAGTCAGTCAGTCAGTCAGTCAGTCAGTCAGTCAGTCAGTCTGTCAATCAGTCAGTCAGTCAGTCAGTCAGTCAGTCAGTCAGTCAGTCAGTCAGTCTGTCAATCAGTTGATAGCAATAATTTAAATTTTGACTGTGCAGGAAGAAGCGGTGTATGATCCATTGTGGAGACCAGATTTGCCGGACTTTGAGGATCATGATAAAGATCCGGACAATAGCCTCCCACTAGCTAACAAATACATTGACGTAAGTTTTATTTTGTAATTATATTATTTCTAAAGTTGCAGTGAAATGTTCCTATGCTAACTGGAGCTATTTTAGTATAGCCACAGTTTCTATAGTTACTGTTTCTACAGTTACTGTCATATTATATTTACATATACAATATATATGAAACATGACAACATAATTTATTTGCACGTGCAGCGTGCATAATTACGGAAAGGGAAACAAGACATCATAACCCAATACAGTCAAACTTCTTTATACCGGATCCCTTCTTTTCCACAAACTTTTAGTTAGTTTGTTTTTTATGCAAGAAATGTCATTTATCATAGCCCATATCGCATTTGGTGGTGATTTGATTAGGGAATGAAGTAGGTACCAGAGTGGTCTACAAAACTCATTACGAGTTAGGAGCTTTGCATTTAAGCTGAGCGGTAGATCTATTCATTCCCTAGAGTGCTCAAGCTTAGTAAACTAAACGAGCATATTTATCCATAGACACAGAGTTTCGTCCTATCAGGACTCATCAGTAGGCTCAATTCATCAGGGTCGATGTTTGCTGATGGTGGGAATCGAACCGGCTACCTTGCGATTGCAAGCCCGAGAGAACACCATATATACATATGTATCAATATCCGCTGTCTTCATTATCACGTATAGTGAGATTTGGAACCAATACCATAAAGCAATAAGATACATATCTATGTCTATTACAGTATATCATAATATTAGTATTAATGTATAATGTTTAGAAGGACACTAAAAACCTGTGTGAAGGCTCATCACAGAATAACTTTCCTTCTCGTATAAATCCATATTTCCTTGGTTCATACAATTCTGAGTTCCTATGTACATAGTTATTATTATTATATCATTACTTCTGTAGATTATATATATATGATTTATTACTATGTATAGATAATTAAGGTGTGAGCCTCTTATTAGCGTCTTTGTAAACTTTCAGGTTCTAGCTCTCAGCTGTTTCGGTGCTAAATCTCCCTTTCAAATTTATTATGCAAATGTAAGCTGTTTACAACCTCTCACTTACAGACTTATTACTTATAGTGAATTAACCTCTCACTTACAGACTTATTACTTATAGTGAATTAACCTCTCACTTACAGACTTATTACTTATAGTGAATTAACCTCTCACTTACAGACTTATTGCTTATAGTGAATTAACCTCTCACTTACATACTTATTACTTATAGTGAATTAACCTCTCACTTACAGACTTATTACTTATAGTGAATTAACCTCTCGCTTACAGACTTATTACTTATAGTGAATTAACCTCTCACTTACAGACTTATTACTTATAGTGAATTAACCTCTCACTTACAGACTTATTACTTATAGTGAATTAACCTCTCACTTACAGACTTATTAGTTATAGTGAATTAACCTCTCACTTACAGACTTATTACTTATAGTGAATTAACCTCTCACTTACAGACTTATTACTTATAGTGAATTAACCTCTCACTTACAGACTTATTACTTATAGTGAATTAACCTCTCACTTACAGACTTATTACTTATAGTGAATTAACCTCTCGCTTACAGACTTATTAGCATACTTATAGTGAATTAACCTCTCACTTACAGACTTATTACTTATAGTGAATTAACCTCTCACTTACAGACTTATTACTTATAGTGAATTAACCTCTCACTTGCAGACTTATTACTTATAGTGAATTAACCTCTCACTTACAGACTTATTACTTATAATGAATTAACCTCTCACTTACAGACTTATTACTTATAGTGAATTAACCTCTCACTTACAGACTTATTACTTATAGTGAATTAACCTCTCACTTACAGACTTATTACTTATAGTGAATTAACCTCTCACTTACAGACTTATTACTTATAGTGAATTAACCTCTCACTTACAGACTTATTAGCATACTTTTAGTGAATTAACCTCTCGCTTACAGACTTATTACTTATAGTGAATTAACCTCTCGCTTACAGACTTATTACTTATAGTGAATTAACCTCTCACTTACAGACTTATTACTTATAGTGAATTAACCTCTCACTTACAGACTTATTACTTATAGTGAATTAACCTCTCACTTACAGACTTATTACTTATAGTGAATTAAACTCTCACTTACAGACTTATTACTTATAGTGAATTAACCTCTCACTTACAGACTTATTACTTATAGTGAATTAACCTCTCACTTACAGACTTATTACTTATAGTGAATTAACCTCTCACTTGCAGACTTATTACTTATAGTGAATTAACCTCTCACTTACAGACTTATTACTTATAATGAATTAACCTCTCACTTACAGACTTATTACTTATAGTGAATTAATTTCTCGCTTACAGACTTATTAGCATACTTATAGTGAATTAACCTCTCACTTACAGACTTATTACTTATAGTGAATTAATTTCTCGCTTACAGACTTATTAGCATACTTATAGTGAATTAACCTCTCACTTACAGACTTATTACTTATAGTGAATTAACCTCTCACTTACAGACTTATTACTTATAGTGAATTAACCTCTCACTTACAGACTTATTACTTATAGTGAATTAACCTCTCACTTACAGACTTATTACTTATAGTGAATTAACCTCTCACTTGCAGACTTATTACTTATAGTGAATTAACCTCTCACTTACAGACTTATTACTTATAGTGAATTAACCTCTCACTTACAGACTTATTACTTATAGTGAATTAACCTCTCACTTACAGACTTATTACTTATAGTGAATTAACCTCTCACTTGCAGACTTATTACTTATAGTGAATTAACCTCTCGCTTACAGACTTATTAGCATTCTTATAGTGAATTAACCTCTCACTTACAGACTTATTATCATACTTATAGTGAATTAACCTCTCACTTACAGACTTATTATCATACTTATAGTGAATTAACCTCTCACTTACAGACTTATTACTTATAGTGAATTAACCTCTCATTTACAGACTTATTACTTATAGTGAATTAACCTCTCGCTTACAGACTTATTACTTATAGTGAATTAACCTCTCACTTACAGACTTATTACTTATAGTGAATTAACCTCTCACTTACAGACATATTACTTATAGTGAATTAACCTCTCACTTACAGACTTATTACTTATAGTGAATTAACCTCTCACTTACAGACTTATTACTTATAGTGAATTAACCTCTCACTTACAGACTTATTAGTTAAAGTGAATTAACCTCTCACTTACAGACTTATTAGTTAAAGTGAATTAACCTCTCACTTACAGACATATTACTTATAGTGAATTAACCTCTCGCTTACAGACTTATTACTTATAGTGAATTAATCTCTCACTTACAGACTTATTACTTATAGTGAATTAACCTCTCACTTACAGACTTATTACTTATAGTGAATTAACCTCTCACTTACAGACTTATTACTTATAGTGAATTAACCTCTCACTTACAGACTTATTACTTATAGTGAATTAACCTCTCACTTACAGACTTATTACTTATAGTGAATTAACCTCTCACTTACAGACTTATTAGTTATAGTGAATTAAACTCTCACTTACAGACTTATTACTTATAGTGAATTAACCTCTCACTTACAGACTTATTAGCATACTTTTAATGAATTAACCTCTCGCTTACAGACTAAATGTGATTTACCTTTAACTTCTTGAGTTCCTTTCCATTAAATGTGTGGTTTGTGTGAATTTTAATGTTTTTAAATCATTAGAAATTATTGCATACATACAGTTGTTTAATGGATCGGTAAATTATAGGCCTGTTATTCAATAACAGTGTTATTGTACTTAAGTTTATTGTAAACAATATATAATATGCTCAATTGCTCATCATGTACTCCTAACTGCTAAGCTAGTGTTACCATGGTAACACTAGATAACTACTCCTAAGCTAGTGCTCAATTCTACCAAATCTTCGAATCATATAATTGATGTTTTGGGACAAAGTGAGAGTCTCCAGTGGAGACTCTCCACTCAGTTGCTGCAATTTACAATTTTTAAAATAATCAATACTAATAATCTCAAGATGTGTGTTTGTGTGTTCGTTCGCGTGTAATTTCCGAGCGGCCCGGACGAGTGGTATAGCTGTATCTTTTAAAGTAAACAAGATACCGTTTAGTATAGCTTTTTTGGATATCTCATTTTTTCTGTGAAGTGACTTAGTGTGTTAAACGGCATCAAAATCGACAAACATTAAAACTCTTCGTCCCTAATGGGTTAATCAAGAAAACGGTTAGAGTTATGGGACTGGTTTTTTTTCGGTATATATAAATAGTACCGACAAAACTCTGACCAAGCCAAATAATTAAGGTTTTTTATTCGGCCTGTGGTAAGTGGTTTAATTAATCATTTTGTGACCCAAATGTGATAGTTAAGTGTCTCAAGTACTCTACCTCTTTCTCACTCTCTCTCCCCATACCAGATTTGCTATATGATTGGTAATTTGGCAGTAGACCTCAAGATTCCCTATCAAGTATTACTATCAGATACGTGAGGGGCATTCAGAATTAAATTGCGGTCTGTTTGGACTGAGTGACCTTATACTTTCGCACCGGTTTAACTACAAAAATGTAATGCATGTTTTCGAATATAATAGACGGGTTTATACTTTTGCATTTCAACTGCGATAGTGAAGTTAACTAATAACTATCAATATCGTGAAATACCTACAATATTTTACAAAAATCTATACAATTACAAAAATTAACAAACAATAATGTGAAATAACTCCAAATTTATAACAAAAATTGTATATAGATTTATATTGATAGTCATATAACCGATTATTTTTAACATTTTAAATTGCAGCTATGTAGCGTAATTGTAACGTCTCGTCCCTACCTAAGGATCAATTATTCTTTGGTGGGGTTTCACTTCTGGTATTGGCTTCATTCCCGTTCCTTTTCCTTATTCTTTATACTTATTTTTTTTATATAGTTTAATGAGATTGCAATTTGTATCACTGTTGAAAGTGTGTGGCGGTTCCTCCGCCCTGCCGGATGCGCCAAGTAATAGCTTGTTATTATATGATTTACGTCCTTAGTTTTTGCTAGTTGGCCCTTTTTATGATATTATTACCCCCTTTTGCACAGTTCTTCAGGAGTGTTTCCCTTCATGTTTTCTGTTCCTTAGACCAAACAGGGGCGTGAGCTGCCCGCCCTAGCTACGGTACGAGAAGCAGCGGCAGTGTGTGATCCGGTTATAAAGAGTGTTCTTGGAACAACAGCACTCTGCTTGGCTGCACTGTGACAGTGGGAGAACATTAGTTCATGTCACCTAACGCCCGCTTAACCTTGGCAGCCCCAAGGCATCTGGTTGGTGATGGTTCCCAGGGCTTTTTCAGTTGGAGTCGGCTGTTAAGTTTGTCCTGTAAATTCTTGACTTAAGAAAGGAAATAAAATATATAACATCACATCCAACACTTGGATTCATCCCAACAGTATTATTTCCCCTGATATAACACCGTGTAATAAGTCAAGATGTCTCACCTGTAAACCATTCAGGTCAAGTAATATTTTCACCAGTTACGTTACTAATAATTCTTTCATGTTAACTCACTCTGAATCCTTTTCTTGTAAATCTTCTTCTATTATCTATCTCCTCACTTGTTCTTGTGGTATTCAATATGTTGGGCTCACAGAACAGCGCCTTAATGAACGCATGAATGGACACCGTGCTTCGGTTAAAGCCGGCAAATCCTCCTTTGTCCATGACCACTTTAATACTCCCGGTCATAATTTTCATGACGCCTCCATTCAAATTATTGATTTTATTGACCCTTCCTCTACTGAAGACCCTCGTCTGGCCTTAGCTGACAGGGAACTTCTTTGGATTAATCTCCTGAGCACTGCTCACCCTCTAGGTCTCAATGACAACATAAAAGGTTCTGGTAATATTTCTAAAAGCAACTTTAACGATATTTATTTTAAAAATAAAATAAAAAGATATAAAAGAGGACATGGCAGAAAAAAGAAAAACAAAAGCCATGAAGATAGAATATACAAAAGGACTCTCACTTTAAGAGAGATTGACAATAAATATGAAAGTTTAAAAAGAAAAATGTCTGAAAGCAAATACAGCTTTTATAAAGATATAAGTAGCCTTCAAAAAGGCGAGCTCAAGCAACTTAGCTCTCATTCCCTCTGCAAATCTGGAGCCATTTTCCTTGTTATACAATCTTTTGCTGGCCAAGACAGCACTTCTTCTCCTAATATCACCTCTGTTAATAGCGAGTTTATCACTTTTCACTATTGTTCTAAAATATTTGATAAACTCCGAATAGAATCAGTCATTCGTGACTCTAGGATCTTGACTCTTCTCCCTCCAAACCTTACGCCTTTCCTTCCCTTAAAAGTTTACTATAAGTACGATATTCCTGTCGGGCGTAAGCTTTTTAATTATAATAGATTCCTTAAATCACTTGATAATACTACTATTTCCTCCATCCTGGAAGGTGATTGCCCCTGTTCCAGTAACCCTTATTGCTATCAGCCTCGAGGCCACATCATCACCGGTGACCTTGCTTTCATTGAGCACGAGGATTTAAGAGGCATCATGAGTTACGGTACCAAATTTAGGGAACCTGTGTCTGTTCCTCCTGAGCAAATCTTGGAGAGCCTCAACGAGTGTTCAGCCAACTTCGCCACCCGTATGGCTAGGAAGCATGGACTTTCATGTTTGGAATTCCAGGATTGGAAAGATGAGGTCTCCCGGATCTTCACCAATCGCCTTAACTTCCTCTCCTCCTCCCCTAATAACTTCACTCCCTACAATTCCATTCTACAAAGGGATGATGTTAAATCTTATCTCGACAGTCTTTCTTCTTCTTTTATTATTTGCTCCGTAGATAAAGCTTCAAATAATTATGTTTTTGTCTGCAAGAAGTTTTATCTTTTAACCCTTCTCAACGAACTTGGCTACGATCTCACTTCTCTAGAGTGTCGTGGCAATTCTACTTATCATCCGGTTAACTCTGTAGAGGATGATATTATTCAGGAACATGTGAACTTCATTAAAGATAACTTTAATATTCGTGTTTCCGAGGACAACCTTTGTCTACCGAGAATCTTTTGGATTCCTAAACTTCACAAGAATCCTTATAAGTCTAGATTTATAGCTGGGGCCAGTAAATGTACCACTAAGCAGATATCAGTTGTAGTCAACAAAGCTTTAAAAGTTTTAAAAGAATACTTTTCCAAATACTGCAACTCTATCTACAACAATACTGGAATTAACTGCGACTGGAGCATTAACAGCTCTAAACAGTTCCTGGAAAGGCTGCCTAGACTAGAGATTTTTAATATGCAGGTATACGACTTTACCACTCTGTATACCAATCTAGACCTTCAGGTTGTACAGTCACTGCTTTTCGAGCTAATAGATCTCCTCTTTAGTAATACGAATAAATTTATTTGTGTTTCTCTGTATAAGAACAACAATTTTTTCTCTAAAAAGGAATATAACGGATACTTATGTTTTTCTGCTGATAAACTCAAAACAGCTATTACATTTATTCTGTTTAACACTTTTGTTTGTTTTAAGGATCAGATTTTAAGACAAACGAAAGGCATTCCCATGGGAGGGAATTCTAGTAGCCAGTTCGCTGATCTTTCGCTAGGGAAGTGTGAATTCAACTACATGACACGCCTAATCAAAGAAAAGAAGTTCGGTCTCGCTAAGCTCCTCTCAAGAAACTGCAGATATGTCGACGACCTCAACACCATGAACTATTTGCATTTCTCTAACCTAATCAGGTCCATTTATCCACCTGACCTGCTTATGGAGAGGAGTGGTGACGACAATAAGTCCGTAAACTATCTCGACATCAACATCTCGATGAATAACTCCGGACACGTCGCCACCAAGCTTTACAACAAACTTGATGACTTCAACTTTCCTGTGGTCATGTACACCTTTCCTAACAGTAATATTTCCTCTTCTGTTGGTTATAATGTTTTTTACGGTCAGGTCCTTCGTTACTCTTCCATTATCTCTGACCTTGATTCTTTTCTGTGTTCTACCAACACCCTTTATAGGACACTTCTTTCAAGATGTTATAATGGCAGACTCCTGAAGAGTAAATTCAGAAAGCTTCTGAAAGACCGACCTAGTATTCTGTACAAATACAGTATACTTGATGTCAGCGACATCCTTGACATCACATTTAACGTGAACAGGTGATCACTGACGAGTGATTGCTAGGGGGTCTTGGCACATTAAACCGGTACAGGTATTAAACCCCCGAAACCGGTGTGCCAAGTCATCTGCTGATGATGTTCACATAACATTATTTCCTCTCTCCTTTATTCCTTCCTTCTTTTCTTAAACTTACAGTTCAGTTACTTTATTTCACCAGGTCTACCTAAGGATCAATTATTCTTTGGTGGGGTTTCACTTCTGGTATTGGCTTCATTCCCGTTCCTTTTCCTTATTCTTTATACTTATTTTTTTTTATATAGTTTAATGAGACTGACAAAGGCGTGGGCCGAAACGTCGACAACTATTTGTTTGAAAAACTGAGTGGAGACTCTCACTTTGTCCCAAAACATCAATTATATTATGATCGACCCACTTAAAGGATCGAAAACAGATTGTTATTAAATCTTCGAATTACTCCGAAATGTTTGTGCTCACTGCTAACCAATGAGAACACTCTGCTTCTTTATAAAATGTTATATAGAATAATTTTGTTTCAGTTGATCAGACATTGTTGGGAAGAAAAACCAAGTGCTAGACCTACCTTTACAGAGATTAAAAAGCAACTTCACAACATCAATCCTAACAAGGTAAAGATGGTTTTTTAAACCTTAAAAGAAGATTCAACGTCCCTCCTCACCTTCATTCCCCCTCACCTCATATTCCCCTCACCTTCATTCCCCCTCACCTTCATCCCCCCTAACCTTCATCCCCCTCACCTTCATTCCCCCTCACCTTCATTCCCCCTCACCTTCATCCCCCCTAACCTTCATCCCCTCACCTTCATTCCCTCACCTTCATTCCCCTCACCTTCATTCCCCCTCAACTTTATTCCCCCTCGCCTCCATCCCCCCTCAGTCCTCACCTTCATTCCCTCTCGTCTTCTCTGCTTTTTATCTTACTGCAGTTTTTTATTCCACTAGAACCTACACTGGGTTATTATAACGCTTATTTAACAGGAAAATCCTGTGGACATGATGATGAAGTTGATGGAGAAGTACAGTAAACACTTGGAGGCTATCGTAGCAGAGAGGACTCACGAACTTGTAGAGGAGAAGAAGAAAACAGACAGACTTTTATACGGTAAGGACAGACAGACAGACAGACAGACAGACAGACAGACAGACAGACAGACAGACAGACAGACAGACAGACAGACAGACAGACAGACAGACAGACAGACAGACAGACAGACAGACAGACAGACAGACAGACAGACAGACAGACAGCGGAATGAATGTCCCAATGATGAAATCCCTGATAACCTGTTTATAGCTTGTTTATAACCTGTTTATAACCTGTCTATAACCTGTTTATAACCTGTTTATAACCTGTTTATAACCTGTTTATAACCTGTTTATAACCTGTTTATTTCAGCCATGTTGCCCAAGAGAGTAGCGGAGGACCTGAAACAGGGAAACCCTATAATAACGGCAAAGTACGACGCGTGTACCATATTCTTCAGCGACATTGTCGGGTTTACAAACCTAAGCAGTTCCTCGACTCCACTGGAAGTTGTGGAGCTGCTTAACCAGATGTACACAGCTTTCGACAGCATTATTGACGAGCATGACGTGTATAAAGTAGAGACCATTGGAGATGCCTGTACGTTTTGTATACACACAGTTTCCACCCCTCCTGTAATGAGCCAGGTCCCTGGGGACACACAAATCCCCCGGGAAATCTTGCGAGTTACAAATATTATAAAGTTAGATAATCGTTGAAATATTCTGAAAATCTACCAGAAATTATTCCAGTACAGTAGCTTGTTCCTTCATCAAAATAATCGAGATTTCAGTTTTGACTTTTTTAACGGCTGATTTATAAAAACACCGAATCGGTAGATGAGCATATCTTGAGATGTGAAGCTCAGTTATACTTCATATAAGTTTACATTATGGGTTAGAATAGTTTAGAAATTGAAATTCCAAAAATTGTTCACTAAAAAACAGCAAAATGTAGGCAAAGAACCGTATCTGTCACGATTTTTAACAATTTCCTAGTGTTTTTACAAATAATATAATAATTATTACTAATATTAGTAATAACTCCAGACATGGTGGTAAGCGGTGTAATATAATAATTATTACTAATATTAGTAATAATAACCTCCCCAGACATGGTGGTGAGCCCCCCCCCCCCCCCCCCCCCAGTGTTTTTACAAATAATATAATAATTATTACTAATATTATTAATAATTACATCCCCAGACATGGTGGTGAGTGGTGTTCCGGAGATGAACGGGGACCGCCACGCTGAGGAGATAGCCACCATGGCTCTGAAAATAGTGTGTTTCTGCAGAGGGTTCAGAGTTCCCCATCGTCCTAACCAGATTGTGAATATCAGAGCGGGAATACACTCCGGACCGGTGGTGACGGGAGTTGTGGGGCTCAAGATGCCCCGGTACTGCTTGTTCGGAGACACCGTTAACATGGCCAGCAGAATGGAGAGCACTGGAGAAGGTGGTTATCTTAATTAGTTAATTAATTAAATAATTGATCATTTGTTTTTACCCTTACCTCCACCCTTTCCAGTAGAGCCATATCTAGTGGAACACGGTAAACTACCAGCTACTGCACTTCATAGCATAGTTGGTTCGTGCGTCAATTTTTCGGGAAAAGTACGTTAAGTGCGTTTGAATTATTTCGTGCGTTAAAAGTGCGTTTAAGTACGTTTACCGTTGAATTCACCAGCATTTTCTGTAGACTGTAGAGACAAACAATTAAAACACATGAATAACGTTCTTAAAGATTACATAGCGAATAAATTACATTTATTTCTCTTACATTTTATAGTTTCTTTTCAATATATTTAAGTAAGGAACTTCCAGTACAATCTCTTTTCGCTATCGCAAGTGCTTTACAGTTACACGTTGAAATGTTCCTCAAACATTTTATGGCATTCCAAAAATAGCTACTGTAAGGCTCACCAATGACAGTTTATGTGAAATCTTGGAAATAACACTGTCTGATGTTTTGGCCCTGTGTATTCAAAAATGAAAAAACCGCAAATGGCCCAGCGAGGGTAGGTAAAAGTGCGTTTTACGTTTTTTCGTACGTTAAGTGCGTTATGTTTTAAAAGTACGTTAAGTGCGCACGAACCAACTATGCTTCATAGAATATTTATATAATATTCTCATAATACTGATAATATTTTAAAGCAATATCCATGATAATATTTCTCTCTAAAGCACTGAGGATCCAAGTTAGTCCGGATACATACGTCATCCTGAGAGGCAGAGGAGACCTGTTCACTTTCGAATACCGGGGTCCAATCGAAATTAAGGTAAACCAATTATTTTGAATTAAATGTGTTGTGTTTACGAACATGTTAGTGCTATGTTTTTGTTAAAGGTAATTTACTTGCTGTCGTTAATTATTTGACAACGACAATCTCCTGTAGGGTAAGGGTACGAAGGAAACCCACTGGTTGCTAGGGAAACGACAGCCGGATCATCAGGACCTTCTTATTCAGAACTGCCTCTCCCCGGCCTCCCATAAACGTATCTTCAAGGGAAATAGACTTGTAGCTCCCCCTCAACCCCTCACGTGAGAATTAGATTAATTTTAATAATTATAGAGTTCCTTTTTCTTTTTACTAAAAACATTTCTTATCAACAGCTTTATAACAATGTAGTTATAGGCAACAAAGAAGGCAAATAAATTGTAACCAGCTTCTAGACTGCTACTTATCTACTAGTAGGTTACTAGTAGGTTACTGGTAGGTTACTAGTAGGTTACTGGTAGGTTACTAGTAGGTTACTAGTAGGTTACTGGTAGGTTACTAGTAGGTTACTAGTAGGTTACTAGTAGGTTACTAGTAGGTTACTGGTAGGTTACTAGTAGGTTACTAGTATGTTACTAGTAGGTTACTAGAAGGTTACTAGTAGGTTACTAGTAGGTTACTAGTAGGTTACTGGTAGGTTACTGGTAGGTTACTAGTAGGTTACTAGTAGGTTACTGGTAGGTTACTAGTAGGTTACTAGTAGGTTACTAGTAGGTTACTAGTAGGTTACTGGTAGGTTACTAGTAGGTTACTAGTATGTTACTAGTAGGTTACTAGTAGGTTACTAGTAGGTTACTAGTAGGTTACTGGTAGGTTACTAGTAGGTTACTAGTAGGTTACTAGTAGGTTACTAGTAGGTTACTAGTAGGTTACTAGTAGGTTACTGGTAGGTTACTAGTAGGTTACTACAGCCGTGTGTGGTGCGTTCCTTTCCACAAAATTAAAAATTGTCAGATTATAAAGTTATAAGTAGTGATTGGTTAAAATTAATTATAGATCATTTTAGTCCGGAGGAACTGAACGAGTAGCAGGTGAACAAATAGTGACTATAGTGTGTGAACATGTGTGAGAGATATCGTGTGTTTTGCAGCAAATAGTGACTATAGTGTGTGAACATGTGTGAGAGATATCGTGTGTTTTGCAGCAAATAGTGACTATAGTGTGTGAACATGTGTGAGAGATAACGTGTGTTTTACAGCAAATAGTGACTATAGTGTGTGAACATGTGTGAGAGATATCGTGTGTTTTACAGCAAATAGTGACTATAGTGTGTGAACATGTGTGAGAGATAACGTGTGTTTTGCAGCCTATAAGATATATGGGAATTTAACGTGTATTTTGTGAAGTATGAAGTGTTGTCATGGTAACATGAAGCTAACACCGCCTCCCTACCAGGTCTATGGAGCTCAATGACCAAGGCTCTGCTCCCCCCGGCCCCCAAGGTACTAGCACCGCTGAAAGCTCCACCAACATTGTCGCCCCTACTGAACGGTCACAGCAGTATAGAAGAGGAGCCCCCCACTTACGACTCTCTGGAGGGTAGCCCGCTCCGTCACCATGGTGACTCTCTGGAGGGCAGCCCGCTCCGTCACCATGGTGACTCTCTGGAGGGCAGCCCGCTCATTAGGGGGGCTCCGGAGAGGGACAGCTCCACGTCACGTGACCTCCTCCTCGCTCCTGACGTGTGAGAAACCCCTTCTCGCTGGGGAGCTCTTCTACTGACCAGATTTTTACGTTTTCTAGACCTCCTGTCATCCTGATATTATCCTGATACTATCTTGTTGTCCGTTACCATGGTGACTGAAGTTCACCCCATGATCAAATCAGTCTCCGTGATCCGAATCAAGTGATCATCATCACTTACTGGTTGTTATGGTTTCAGCGTGCTGGAAACTTGTAAAGTCCGACTTACTTATCAAGAGTTGCCTTAGTTACCGATTACCAGTGATTAGTTGTCATGGTTGCCATGGCTTCTGGTTACTTGTTGCCATGGTTACCAGTTACTTGAATGAGACGAGTTAAGAGTTGTTTAGAGTTTGTGTTACTGGTTCCTGGTTCCCATGGTGATGTTAGCAGTTGTTTTAGTAAGTCTGTGATGTGTGTTTTGTAAATTGATTCAGAAATATAAAATGAAATCGGTGATTTTTTATATGCGATATTTCAAGACTGTAATATCAAAAACTGTACATTAAATTTTTAATTCTATGTTGATAGACACTGTTAGATTCCTCGACAATTGTATAGTAATGTTACCATAGTTACTAATTTTACTAGTTACTAGTAAATCCTTACCTGCATAGTGCATAGTAACCTTAACTTAGTTTACTTTATTTAAATTCTAAGTCTAATTCCCCGATTTTGTGTAAGCGGGTTACGATCGCTAAATGCTCTTCCTGTTCACATTCAAATCAAACTTAAAAGAGAGAATTGCAAATAATTATAAACGCTAAATAATTGCAATATCTCAACTTACCAGCTCTACCTAACGTACACTACATAAAGTGGCTATGACCAGGAATTTGACGCTAGAATTTGTTGTAAAAACTGACCTTTGAGCTGTGCAGGTCGAAACATTTTATTTTAGTTGTGTATGTCGCTCATTTCACCATTAACTTAATAATCAACTGATGATACTAGTTCCATATTTATTGATATTTTTGACATTACTTTTTTGATTGTTAGAAATCGAAAGTACACTTCAAGCGACGATTATACATTTGTTGTGTATATAGTAACTTTTTAGCCCTTACTACGACTGTTAGTAATGTATTTAGCACAGGGCTGAGATACTAATAAGAATAAAATTTATTATAAAGGAGTATCATTTATACGAAACATGTTATCTATTTGAATTTAAAATTGCGAAATCTTATATAAGTAACGCTTTTCAATTAGTTTGAGTTGCCTAATCCTAACAAAATGATTATTTTGCTGCTAGCAAGAGCTTTGATTTAAACGACACGGTTATAAATGAGCCCTCAATACTGTAGCTGTACTTGTGACCTAGATATTTAAAATAGAGGAGACGCTTCCTGACGTGCCCTCGTCAACCTCCCATATCCGTGAGAGAAGCTGGGTGTATAGTAGTAGTAGGTAGTACTAGTAGTAGTACTAGTAAGTATAATTACCGGATGGGGTGTTGTGTTCCGAGTTTATAGGTTTATTTGCACGTGCAGGGCTATACTGGTTTAGCTATAATAGCTCTAGGTTAGGGGGGGGGGGGGTTGACGGATGTTACTCGTCTAAATTTCTTCGAAGTAGCGCGCGCCGCTTTCTTCTCGAAAGAGCTACGAAGTAGCGCGCGCCGGGTCAGATCATTAACAATGGTCAAGGGGGGGGGGGGGGGGGGGGCCATTGGTTTTTTTTGTGAAACTTGATTTCGAGATAGCAGTTGACCGAACTTTTGAGGGGGTCCCGGACCCGAACCGCCAAACGGAGCCTGCGGGGCAGCCACGCCCATATTTGGTCCAAATTAGGCCCAATTTAGCCAAAATATTGAGACCGTCGACGAGACTAACTTTGACATACGTTGCATGCCACTTTTCGCGCGCAAAGCGCGCGCCGCCGATATTGGGATACGAAACATGTATCAAGACTAACTTTGACGCGCATCTTGGGGACCTTTACAGATAGTTGAAATTCGACATATGACGTCATCTAGCGTGAAATATCGCCAGATGACGATAGATGACGCCAATTAGCGACATTGTCGCTAATTGCACGGCACCTGTCGAATGTCGCTATCTGACGCTTTCTAATTCTGGCGCTATCTAGCGCTACATGACGCTAGACACGCAGCACAGGCGACAGATAGCGCTATTTTCATAAAATTTCCGGCTTTTTTTGCGACATCTAGCGGTGTCTAGCGCTATATGTCGCAACGACATCTGACGCAGCGCTATCTGGCGCTATCTACTTCTAGCGCTATCTAGCGGAGAATGTCGGTTTGTGACAGTTTACGCTAGATAGTGCTATCTAGCGCTTGATATCTCGGCGACAACTAGCGCTATCTAATGAAGAATGTCGGTTTGCGACAGTTCACGCAGTACGCGTAGACACATGGCTATGTGAAAGAAGATGATATAAAGATTTAAATGTTAAATTAGCATTTGCAAATAATTAATAGCATTGAAATCTCGCACAGCAAATTATTAAAAGAATGTAATGAGAGTCGAGCCGAATTTATTGTAGTCAGTGTAATAAGCGCCAAGCGCGAGCACAAAACTTTTTTTCTCCGATTTCGATCAATTTGGTACCAAAAGTTGTCTAAAAATTTGAATAAAATAAATCCACCGTGTAGCAATTTTCGCTAAAAATGCTACACGGCGCTTGTTTGCCGCGCGTGCTTTTTTCGCGCAAATTTTTCGTTTTTGGCCTATAACTTTCACATTTTCAGTTATTATCACATAATTAATATTATTATGGCATTGTAATCAGCTTATCGAGACGAAACTTTTAGTACTAATATTTTAAGATTTAAAGGAAACTTATTTTCAAAAATTTTTAATCTGAACACAAGGACCCTTGTGTGAAATTTTGAACAAATTTTTGAAAAATTTGGTGCTTCAAAAATTATAATTTTGGTACTAAAAGTTGCGTCTGACTAAGTTCATTACGATCCTGTAAGAATTATTTCAAAAATTCAATATTTTAGGAGTTATAGGCATTTTAAGCAATAAATTGCCTATTTTTCGTCCTTTGTACACTCTTGCGATGCACAGAAGGCCCACATACAGCTCGACGTTATCGTGCTACACGGCCACGGTGAATTTTCATTATTCACACTTAGAGGCAACTTTTGATACCAAATTTATCAAAATCTGAAATCAGAGACAAAAAATTCTGTGCCAGCTCATGGCGCTTATTACATAAACTATTGTTCAGTAATCACATTTACAATGGGTTTACACATTACATAATAGTTTAAATTTCAAATTAATGTTCCTGCACGAATGAAAATGCCTCATAATCATATATCGTACCCACGAGTTTTCAGTTTACGAACTACGCGCAAGTGTGAAGTGCAAGGGATGATGATTAATCACTCTACACTCGACTGTCACGTGACTTTTTTAACCCATTCTCTAGCTGGTTCTGAACAACTTTTCGAAACCCTAACCCTCTAATCTGATCCCAACCCTAACCCTAACCCAATCCTTAACAAAAACATATGCTGAAACCCTAACCCTAACGAGAAATTAGACTAACTTCCTTATACGGTCATATCACGTGATCGATACAGTTTTTCGCCAATATCTCGTCAGGAGAGCATTTTAACCCTATGTCATGGGGGGTGATTCGGAATCAGCGTCCGAAAATACATCGATTGAAGTTGGTTACAACCATCGGGGGCCCTTTTAGAACGATCTGGAAGATCGACTGTAGAGTGATTTAGCACGCTCGAAGTGCAAGCGCGAAAGCTTTAGACTTAGTGCAATTTAGCTACGAAAATACCAAAACCCTTAAAGTTAAAGTTAAGGCTGGGGACCTCAGGCTATCATGTTCATAAACATTAAGATTTGGCGGAATGACAGGCTGAGCGCGGCCCAGTAACAATCCTTGGGATCGGAGTTATTTTGGATAAATACTTTACAGCTTCGAGTAATCTATTTGACGATGTTTTTTGTAGCGCGATGCACTACTGGGCCGCGCCGCACAGCCAATGATGCTTCTCGCAACCAATAGTGCTTTACTAAATCGGCGAGATGCACCATGACTGGGCCTCGCCGAGCTGTGAAGGATTGACATCGTGAATCAACGCGATGCGTTACTGTGTCGCGCCGCGCATCCAAAAATGCTTCTCGGCATCCAATAATGCTTCTTGGCGAATGCACCACTGAGCTGTGAAACATTGGCATCACGAATCAACGATGTTAGTTACTTGTATAAATTTAGTCGAAATAGTATGTAGTACGTGCCGCTTTCTTCCGATCCCGAAATGTTAAGGGTCGACGGTCGTTTACATATTAGTAATCAGCTGAGGAGGTTGGGGTTTCCAAATGATTATTGATTACGCTAGTGTAATATTGACATAATAGCTATGGTAAAACTGATTACGGAGTATGTGAACGACCCCTCATTGTTAGTAATCAGTTCCATACATAGCTATTAAGCTATTAGTATTATGTCACAATCACACTAGCGAGCGTAATAATTTGGAAAACCCCGGCCGGCGGCATCAGGCCCCTTATAGTTATATAATTATAATATGTAAACGACCCCTTGATTAAGTGATATTTAATATTTTGTTCCACTCAGCCGAATATTTGATAAATCGAGTGTAATAGTTGGGTGACTTCGACGCGCCACGCAAGCTTATAGTTATATCATTCTCACTTAAATTATAATTAATTTTCATACACAGTAAAAATTAATTTTCATACAAAATAAAAATAACAAAAAAGATTAGGTGGGAAAAGACAGGCTGCGCTTACGGTCCCAGTAAAACACACACACACACACACACACACACACACACACACAGGGTTAGGGTTAATGTTACTGTGATAGGCCGGATATGATATCTTGTGCTATCTAGCGCTATATGACGCAACGACATCTGACGCAGCGACATATAGCGCTAGATAGCGACATCTAGCGCTAAATAGCCTGGACTGTCACGACCCGAAATTCTTCGCTATTTAGCGCTTTCTAACGCTATATGTCGCAACGACATCTGACGCTATATAGCGCCAGATAGCGACATTCGACAGGTGCCGTGCAATTAGCGACAATGTCGCTAATTGGCGTCATCTAGCGTCATCTATCATCATCTGGCGATATTTTACGCTAGATGACGTCATATGTCGAATTTCAACTATCAGTAAAGGTCCCATCTTGGTAGGTTACCATGGTTACTTGGTAGGTTATTAACCTACAAGTAGAAGGCACTAGTATAGATATTAGATGGTAGTGGTAGACGTGTGGTGCGACATACCAGCCACACGCAATTAACCTTTCTTCCCCCTTCAAATAATATCTTTCTTTTAGCTGAAAATCCGGATATAAAACTGTTTAAGATAATATTAATCATTTGTAAAAATACAGAAATAAATTTGTAAAAATTTCGAAAGTTCGCTCAACTAAAAATAAATCCTAAATATTCAGCAATTTCCCCCTTGCTACGTCATCAACAAGACAGCAAATCAATATTTTAAATGTTGAAACTGAGTAAACAGATTCAATTTTATAGTGACAGTAAACTGCAGTTTACTGTAATTATAGAAAAGTTTACTACAATAAGTGTTACCATGGTTACACTTATTGTAGTAAACTGAACAGTTTAACTTTACTTACTGTGAAGAAACGGAGCTCCCAAGCTCGAAATATCGTTTACTTTAAGACAATGACCAAGAGATATACTCAAAGATAAGAATTATACTCAATACTAGAAAGCTAGAAGATAAGAATTATACTAGACAATATTGAATAAAAGTGCGCAAATTATTCTAGGAAAGATTGACAAAAATTAAATATATAAGCTACATTGATTATCCCAACATGACATATTCGATAACGCCGGATAATGCATAATTACATTTTTATAGAAAAGATTCAAAGGTATACTGGCCTTATTTAGAGAAATAAACCAAAGTCATGACAACTATAAAAGTATAAAGATCGCATTGCCATGACAACATGTCACGTTTGCTGAGCTCCGTCACCGAATGTTCCAGGGGGAGGCTTGTAAATAGGAGGTAACATTTTACACTGCAGTTTATTGAAGCAGTACTTGTAGGATCCTATATTCTTAAATGTGTTGTGATATCGCGTACCGTCCCTGTGAGAATACACTTCATTATACACTTATACAGCTGTGTTGTTGTTGGTCATGTGTTACCATATTTACATGTGATACTCAATGTCATATGTTACCATAGTTACATGTGATACTCAATGTCATAATGTGTTACCATGGTTACATGTGATACTCAATGTCATGTGTTACCATAGTTACATGTGATACTCAATGTCATATTGTGTTACCATATTTACATGTGATACTCAATGTCATATTGTGTTACCATATTTACATGTGATACTCAATGTCATATGTTACCATAGTTACATGTGATACTCAATGTCATATTGTGTTACCATATTTACATGTGATACTCAATGTCATGTGTTACCATAGTTACATGTGATACTCAATGTCATATTGTGTTACCATGGTTACATGTGATACTCAATGTCATGTGTTACCATGGTTACATGTGATACTCAATGTCATGTGTTACCATAGTTACATGTGATACTCAATGTCATGTGTTACCATAGTTACATGTGATACTCAATGTCATGTGTTACCATGGTTACATGTGATACTCAATGTCATGTGTTACCATGGTTACATGTGATACTCAATGTCATATTGTGTTACCATGGTTATATGTGATACTCAATGTCATGTGTTACCATGGTTACATGCGATACTCAATGTCATGTGTTACCATGGTTACATGTGATACTCAATGTCATGTGTTACCATGGTTACATGTGATACTCAATGTCATATTGTGTTACCATGGTTACATGTGATACTCAATGTCATATTGTGTTACCATGGTTACATGCGATACTCAATGTCATATTGTGTTACCATGGTTACATGTGATACTCAATGTCATATTGTGTTACCATGGTTACATGTGATACTCAATGTCATATTGTGTTACCATGGTTACATGCGATACTCAATGTCATATTGTGTTACCATGGTTAGATGTGATACTCAATGTCATATTGTGTTACCATAGTTACATGTGATACTCAATGTCATGTGTTACCATAGTTACATGTGATACTCAATGTTATATTGTGTTACCATGGTTACGTGACGTGATACTCAATGTCATATTGTGTTACCATGGTTACATGACGTGATACTAACCTTCTGAATTGCTCCAACACAGGGGGGATATCTTCCTTGTGGAAGTCGTGCTGTTGGCACAGTATGTTGCAATACTCGTATGTTATACTCATACTAGTCCGGTCTTTAGCACTCTTGCACGATGTGAACCGCACACATCCTATATCCCGCCCTATCTGGTCATATTATCACGTTTAAAATCGGATGTTAACAAATGTAAAAGAATAAAAATAAGAATAAAACAAGCTTAATATAATATAAATGTTTAAAATGAGTGCAGAAGTTTGTGTTACCATGTGTTACCATGTGTTACCATGTGTTACCATGTGTTACCATGTGTTACCATGTGTTACCATAGTTACATGTGAAGTTTGTTACCTGCTCTGCGAGGACGATGAAGTCGGAGCACTTTCCCCGCTTAGTAGCTTTGAAAAGATACTTCAGTTTCTCAACATTACTCGTCAGACCATTCTCAACCTGACAAATTAGTCTTCACAGAGGAAACCAATAATTCACTTTGATAAAATATTGGTAAATGCAAAACTACAAATGTCACATACGTTGTAAAATGAGTTTTAAAAGCTACCTTAAAATCAAATACACAGATGTTGGGAGTGATGTGTTTATCAATGTAAAACTGTAAGTCCTCCAGAAACTGTTCGCATATCTTGTCTTGCTGTCCTGTCTCGTTAATTCTGCAAAGTTGTCAGGGTTTAAAGATCTGCCCCCTTAAAGGGGAGTCACTGCAGCGTGTCTGCCCCCTTAAAGGGGAGTCACTGCAGCTTGTCTGCCCCCTTAAAGGGGAGTCACTGCAGCTTGTCTGCCCCCTTAAAGGGGAGTCACTGCAGCGTGTCTGCCCCCCTTAAAGGGGAGTCACTGCAGCGTGTCTGCCCCCCTTAAAGGGGAGTCACTGCAGCGTGTCTGCCCCCTTAAATGGGAGTCGCTGCAGCGTGTCTGCCCCCTTAAAGGGGAGTCACTGCAGCGTGTCTGCCCCCTTAAAAGGGAGTCACTGCAGCGTGTCTGCCCCTTAAAAGGGGAGTCACTGCAGCGTGTCTGCCCCCTTAAAGGGGAGTCACTGCAGCGTGTCTGCCCCCTTAAAGGGGAGTCACTGCAGCGTGTCTGCCCCCTTAAAGGGGAGTCACTGCAGCGTGTCTGCCCCTTAACGGGGAGTCACTGCAGCGTGTCTGCCCCCTTAAAGGGGCTTCACTGCAGCGTGTCTGCCCCTTTAAAGGGGCGTCACTGCAGCGTGTCTGCCCCATTAAAGGGGAGTCACTGCAGCGTGTCTGCCCCCTTAAAGGGGAGTCACTGCAGCGTGTCTGCCCCCTTAAAGAGGAGTCACTGCAGCTTGTCTGCCCCCTTAAAGGGGAGTCACTGCAGCGTGTCTGCCCCTTTAAAGGGGCGTCACTGCAGCGTGTCTGCCCATTAAAGGGGAGTCACTGCAGCGTGTCTGCCCCTTTAAAGGGGAGTCACTGCAGCGTGTCTGCCCCTTTAAAAAAACGTAAAAGATATACAAAAACCGTAAAAGATATACAACTTGACTTTTTTGACTGGTTCAAATGCTTTAATGGCCTTCAAATCAGCATGAAAAAATAAAAAATTGGCCAATGAATAAGAATATTAGTGCCCAAAATTTGGACCCCCAAGTGGTGTCAAAAATGCGAAACTAATTATTTTAGTCTCTCGAGTCTTGACACCACTTTAGGGTTAGACGGGTTCCTGTTAGTGATTATAAACAACTAGCAGAGCCTTTTTTACAAGATATTAAACTAATTTCTTTAAAAACTAACTTGTAGGCGATGGTTTGTTGCTCGTTAATTCCATGGTTAAAGAAGAGGGGGAAGAAAGTGATAGAGCCTCCTTGCTGTACGGAGGCTGGTAATTGTTCCAGTACCGCGCTGGGAACTGATATGGTGACTACCACAGCGAACTGTGTACCCGTTATACTAGACACGCTCACTTGATCTGAATCTGTACTTCTTTCTAGCTGAGGGAGAAATAAATCATTTCATTTCTGGTAAAGTTATGTGAAATAAAATTATAAAAAGTTACCTGTATTATACTTGAGCTGTAATATTTTATCTAGTGTTACCATCAACCATGGTTACCTGGACTATATTATGTTATCTAGTGTTACCATGGTTACCTGAACTGTAATATCTTATCTAGTGTTGCCATGGTTACCTGGACTGTAATATCTTATCTAGTGTTGCCATGGTTACCTGAACTGTAATATCTTATCTAGTGTTGCCATGGTTAATTGTATAATTTAACTGTAATATCTTATCTAGTGTTTAGTGTTACCATGGTTACCTGACCTGTAATATCGTATCTAGTGTTACCATGGTTAACTGTATACTTGAACTGTAATATCTTATCTAGTGTTTAGTGTTACCATATTTACCTGGACTGTAATATCTTATCTAGTGTTGCCATGGTTAACTGTATAATTTAACTGTAATATCTTATCTAGTGTTACCATGGTTACCTGGACTGTAATATCTTATCTAGTGTTGCCATGGTTACCTGAACTGTAATATCTTATCTAGTGTTGCCATGGTTACCTGAACTGTAATATCTTATCTAGTGTTGCCATGGTTAACTGTATAATTTAACTGTAATATCTTATCTAGTGTTTCGTGTTACCATGGTTACCTGGACTGTAATATCTTATCTAGTGTTGCCATGGTTACCTGAACTGTAATATCTTATCTAGTGTTGCCATGGTTAATTGTATAATTTAACTGTAATATCTTATCTAGTGTTTAGTGTTACCATGGTTACCTGGACTGTAATATCTTATCTAGTGTTACCATGGTTACCTGAACTGTAATATCTTATCTAGTGTTGCCATGGTTACCTGAACTGTAATATCTTATCTAGTGTTACCATGGTTACCTGGACTGTAATATCTTATCTAGTGTTGCCATGGTTACCTGAACTGTAATATCTTATCTAGTGTTGCCATGGTTAATTGTATAATTTAACTGTAATATCTTATCTAGTGTTTAGTGTTACCATGGTTACCTGACCTGTAATATCGTATCTAGTGTTACCATGGTTAACTGTATACTTGAACTGTAATATCTTATCTAGTGTTTAGTGTTACCATATTTACCTGGACTGTAATATCTTATCTAGTGTTGCCATGGTTAACTGTATAATTTAACTGTAATATCTTATCTAGTGTTACCATGGTTACCTGGACTGTAATATCTTATCTAGTGTTGCCATGGTTACCTGAACTGTAATATCTTATCTAGTGTTGCCATGGTTACCTGAACTGTAATATCTTATCTAGTGTTGCCATGGTTAACTGTATAATTTAACTGTAATATCTTATCTAGTGTTTCGTGTTACCATGGTTACCTGGACTGTATTATCTTATCTAGTGTTGCCATGGTTACCTGAACTGTAATATCTTATCTAGTGTTGCCATGGTTAATTGTATAATTTAACTGTAATATCTTATCTAGTGTTTAGTGTTACCATGGTTACCTGGACTGTAATATCTTATCTAGTGTTACCATGGTTACCTGAACTGTAATATCTTATCTAGTGTTGCCATGGTTACCTGAACTGTAATATCTTATCTAGTGTTTCGTGTTACCATGGTTACCTGGACTGTAATATCTTATCTAGTGTTGCCATGGTTACCTGAACTGTAATATCTTATCTAGTGTTGCCATGGTTAATTGTATAATTTAACTGTAATATCTTATCTAGTGTTTAGTGTTACCATGGTTACCTGGACTGTAATATCTTATCTAGTGTTACCATGGTTACCTGAACTGTAATATCTTATCTAGTGTTGCCATGGTTACCTGGACTGTAATATCTTATCTAGTGTTGCCATGGTTACCTGAACTGTAATATCTTATCTAGTGTTGCCATGGTTAATTGTATAATTTAACTGTAATATCTTATCTAGTGTTTAGTGTTACCATGGTTACCTGACCTGTAATATCGTATCTAGTGTTACCATGGTTAACTGTATACTTGAACTGTAATATCTTATCTAGTGTTTAGTGTTACCATATTTACCTGGACTGTAATATCTTATCTAGTGTTGCCATGGTTAACTGTATAATTTAACTGTAATATCTTATCTAGTGTTACCATGGTTACCTGGACTGTAATATCTTATCTAGTGTTGCCATGGTTACCTGAACTGTAATATCTTATCTAGTGTTGCCATGGTTACCTGAACTGTAATATCTTATCTAGTGTTGCCATGGTTAACTGTATAATTTAACTGTAATATCTTATCTAGTGTTTCGTGTTACCATGGTTACCTGGACTGTAATATCTTATCTAGTGTTGCCATGGTTACCTGAACTGTAATATCTTATCTAGTGTTGCCATGGTTAATTGTATAATTTAACTGTAATATCTTATCTAGTGTTTAGTGTTACCATATTTACCTGGACTGTAATATCTTATCTAGTGTTGCCATGGTTAACTGTATAATTTAACTGTAATATCTTATCTAGTGTTACCATGGTTACCTGGACTGTAATATCTTATCTAGTGTTGCCATGGTTACCTGAACTGTAATATCTTATCTAGTGTTGCCATGGTTACCTGAACTGTAATATCTTATCTAGTGTTGCCATGGTTACCTGAACTGTAATATCGTATCTAGTGTTGCCATGGTTACCTGAACTGTAATATCTTATCTAGTGTTACCATGGTTAACTGTATAATTTAACTGTAATATCGTATCTAGTGTTTAGTGTTGCCATGGTTAACTGTATAATTGAACTGTAATATCTTATCTAGTGTTACCATGGTTACCTGAACTGTAATATCTTATCTAGTGTTACCATGGTTACCTGAACTGTAATATCTTATCTAGTGTTGCCATGGTTACCTGGACTGTAATATCTTATCTAGTGTTGCCATGGTTAATTGTATAATTTAACTGTAATATCTTATCTAGTGTTTAGTGTTACCATGGTTACCTGGACTGTAATATCTTATCTAGTGTTGCCATGGTTAACTGTATAATTTAACTGTAATATCGTATCTAGTGTTTAGTGTTGCCATGGTTAACTGTATAATTGAACTGTAATATTTTATCTAGTGTTACCATGGTTACCTGAACTGTAATATCTTATCTAGTGTTACCATGGTTACCTGAACTGTAATATCTTATCTAGTGTTGCCATGGTTACCTGGACTGTAATATCTTATCTAGTGTTGCCATGGTTAATTGTATAATTTAACTGTAATATCTTATCTAGTGTTTAGTGTTGCCATGGTTACCTGGACTGTAATATCTAATCTAGTGTTGCCATGGTTAACTGTATAATTTAACTGTAATATCTTATCTAGTGTTTAGTGTTACCATGGTTACCTGAACTGTAATATCTTATCTAGTGTTGCCATGGTTACCTGGACTGTAATATCTTATCTAGTGTTACCATGGTTACCTGGACTGTAATATCTTATCTAGTGTTGCCATGGTTAACTGTATAATTTAACTGTAATATCTTATCTAGTGTTTCGTGTTACCATGGTTACCTGGACTGTAATATCTTATCTAGTAATGCCATGGTTACCTGGACTGTAATATCTTATCTAGTGTTGCCATGGTTACCTGGACTGTAATATCTTATCTAGTGTTGCCATGGTTAACTGTATAATTTAACTGTAATATCTTATCTAGTGTTTCGTGTTACCATGGTTACCTGGACTGTAATATCTTATCTAGTAATGCCATGGTTACCTGGACTGTAATATCTTATCTAGTAATGCCATGGTTACCTGGACTGTAATATCTTATCTAGTGTTGCCATGGTTACCTGGACTGTAATATCTTATCTAGTGTTACCATGGTTACCTGGACTGTAATATCTTATCTAGTGTTGCCATGGTTACCTGGACTGTTATATCTTATCTAGTGTTGCCATGGTTACCTGGACTGCAATATCTTATCTAGTGTTGCCATGGTTACCTGGACTGTAATATCTTATCTAGTGTTGCCATGGTTACCTGAACTGTAATATCTTATCTAGTGTTACCATGGTTACCTGAACTTAATATCTTATCTAGTGTTTAGTGTTACCATGGTTACCTGGACTTAATATCTTATCTAGTGTTGCCATGGTTACCTGGACTGTAATATCTTATCTAGTAATGCCATGGTTACCTGGACTGTAATATTTTATCTAGTGTTGCCATGGTTACCTGGACTGTAATATCTTATCTAGTGTTGCCATGGTTAACTGTATACTTGAACTGTAATATCTTATCTAGTGTTTAGTGTTACCATGGTTACCTGACCTGTAATATCGTATCTAGTGTTGCCATGGTTAACTGTATAATTTAACTATAATATCTTATCTAGTGTTTAGGGTTACCATGGTTACCTGGACTGTAATATCTAATCTAGTGTTTAGTGTTACCATGGTTACCTGGACTGTAATATATTTTATAGAGTGTTACCATGGTTACCTGGACTGTAATATCTTATCTAGTGTTTAGTGTTACCATGGTTACGTCCTGGACTGTAATATCTTATCTAGTGTTACCATGGTTACCTGAACTGTAATATCATATCTAGTGTTACCATGGTTACCTGGACTGTAATATCATATCTAGTGTTACCATGGTTACCTGGACTGTAATATCAGAGATATGTTTGATTACAAACTGCATGTCTTCCAACATTCCAGACTCGTCACCGTGCGTACTGAGCAGACTTTCAAACATAACTGGGATAACCAGGTCACTTAGCTGCAGCTGAAATATCTGAAAATAAAAACAGTTAACTACTGCGTTATCATTCAGTTATAATATCAATGCACTAGTAGTTATATAAAGTCAACAAACGAACATATTCTAAGTCTAATTACTGTACTAATTACTTACTAAGTTCCGTGTCCTAAAGCAGAGGGACACAATGAAGCCAGAAACTACAGCAGAGAGCAGCTGACTGAAACACGCTTCAAATCTGTTCAGCAAGTTTAGGAAGTGTTCCCTGTTATCCAGCTCTACCTGTTGGGAAGGTTATTTAGTTATTTAATTATTTAGTTATTTAGTTCTTCTTTTGATTGGTCGGCGTCGACTGTAAGCCTTCCTTGCGGTGGCTTTCACAACGCGTCCCCATTCTCCAACTCCTGCTGCTAGAGAGAGAGACTCCCAAGTTATATACCATAATTATATTATACATAGATAATATATCGACAACAGACTCCGAGAGTCTTGAAGTTCTGTTACCACCGCTCCTGGTGCAACCCCTTACGGGTTAACGATGAGGAGACAGGGACTACAGGAACTTCCAGGGACTAATTATTTAGTTATTCAGTTATTTAGTAAATTTAATGATTTAGGTATTTAGTTATTTAGTTTATTTAGTTGCTTAGTTATTTAGTTGCTTAGTTATTTAGTTGATTAGTTATTTAGTTATTTAAACTAAAAAAAGTTCAGTAACACTAATATATAACGTGTTGTTGCTATTACAGGTAACCTGAGTTATGGACCACACAAGAGCCCGTTGTACGTGAACACAGTAACTCCTGCACACTTCTGATAACGTTTCTTTAGAAGTTACTTTTATATTTGCAACAATCTTCTCCAGATCTGCCGATAACGTCATCTGAAAATCGGTAATGTGTTACCATGGTTACATGTGATGTCATGTGTTACCATGGTTCCAGATAATGTCATGTGTTACCATGGTTACATGCGATGTCATGTGTTACCATGGTTCCAGATAATGTCATGCTTTGCCATGTTACATGTGATGTCATGTGTTACCATGGTTACATGTGATTTCATGTGTTACCATGGTTACATGTGATTTCATGTGTTACCATGGTTACATGTGATGTCATGTGTTACCATGGTTCCAGATAATGTCATGTGTTACCATGGTTACATGCGATGTCATGTGTTACCATGGTTCCAGGTAATGTCATGTTTCACCATGGTTACAGATCATGTCATGTGTTACCATGGTTACATGTGATGTCATGTGTTACCATGGTTACATGTGATTTCATGTGTTACCATGGTTACATGTGATTTCATGTGTTACCATGGTTACATGTGATGTCATGTGTTACCATGGTTACAGGTAATGTCATGTGTTACCATGGTTACAGATGATGTCATGTGTTACCATGGTTACATGTGATGTCATGTGTTACCATGGTTCCAGATAATGTCATGTGTTACCATGGTTACATGCGATGTCATGTGTTACCATGGTTCCAGGTAATGTCATGTTTCACCATGGTTACAGATCATGTCATGTGTTACCATGGTTACATGTGATGTCATGTGTTACCATGGTTCCAGATAATGTCATGTGTTACCATGGTTACATGCGATGTCATGTGTTACCATGGTTCCAGGTAATGTCATGTTTCACCATGGTTACAGATCATGTCATATGTTACCATGGTTACATGTGATGTCATGTGTTACCATGGTTACATGTGATTTCATGTGTTACCATGGTTACATGTGATGTCATGTGTTACCGTGGTTACATGTGATGTCATGTGTTACCATGGTTACATGTGATGTCATGTGTTACCATGGTTACATGTGATGTCATGTGTTACCATGGTTACAGGTCATGTCATGTTTCACAATGGATACAGGTAATGTCACATGTTTCAGCAAGCTAAGGTTTGTTATTTTCACGTAAAGTACGGAGATTAGCTCACAATTTCCAGCTGTTTATCCGAGTCTAAAGTTCGCTGTAATCCCTCAAGTGCTGTTCTCGTTACTTTTTCTTTAGATAACAATATCAGATCACTTACCTGCAAAGTGCAAACGTATGTTACCATGGTTACAGATGTTTATTCTTATTTTTTTATAATTTTCTTATTAACACTTAATTTCACCCGTATTGCTCCTGAAGTAGAGACTAGAAGTGGAATGATGGACAACTCCACAAGTATCTAACTAACTTACAATATCTTTGACAAGTAGTTTGTCGGAGTCAACACTAGCTTCAATAGCGTCATCTGATAAAGTGTGCGAGTTCATCAGGGCCTCTACTTTCTTTAAAACACGGTACTTTTCCCTCCTTTCGGAGAACTTATCACCATCTGAAATCACACAAAATAATCTTCAATATATATTATTTAAGATATCAGTTACCACATTGCAGTGTAGCGTTATCGGTTATTTAAATACCCATAAAATACTCACCTTTACTGTGTTACTATGGTTACAATGTCAAGCGTAACCATGGTTACTCACCTTTACTTTTACCTAGTAGAAACAAAGACTTACCTTTACTGTGTTACTATGGTTACAATGTCAAGCGTAACCATGGTTACTCACCTTTACTTTAACCTAGTAGAAACAAAGACTTACCTTTACTGTGTTACTGTGGTTACAATGTCAAGCGTAACCATGGTTACTTACCTTTACTTTCACCTAGTAGAGATAAAGACTTACCTTTACTGTGTTACTATGGTTACAATGTCAAGCGTAACCATGGTTACTCACCTTTACTTTTACCCAGTAGAAATAAAGACTTACCTTTACTGTGTTACTATGGTTACAATGTCAAGCGTAACCATGGTTACTCACCTTTACTTTTACCCAGTAGAGATAAAGACTTACCTTTACTGTGTTACTATGGTTACAATGTCAAGCGTAACCATGATTACTCACCTTTACTTCTACCTAGTAGAGATAAAGACTTACCTTTACTGTGTTACTACGGTTACAATGTCAAGCGTAACCATGGTTACTCACCTTTACTTTTACCTAGTAGAAATAAAGACTTACCTTTACTGTGTTACTACGGTTACAATGTCAAGCGTAACCATGATTACTCACCTTTACTTTTACCTAGTAGAGATAAAGACTTACCTTTACCGTGTTACTATGGTTACAATGTCAAGCGTAACCATGGTTACTCACCTTTACTTTTACCCAGTAAAGATAAAAGACCCCCGTTCTTGAACTTGTCCCAATGTCCGCACCACGCCCCCACAGTGAGAAGACAATAGTGATCTCTGCTACCTGAAAAAAATAAAGTTTTATACGATAGTATCACTTCAACATTTTATACGGGATCGCTTAGACATTATACGTTATTAAGTCTAGGGAAGGGGCTTTTTTCTACACAATAGCTGTGTTTAAAATTTGTTACGGAGGGATAGGGGGAGCTAAAGGGGGAGCTGAAGGAGGAGCTGAAGGGGGAGGTGAAGGGGGAGCTGAAGGGGGAGATGAAGGGGGAGCTGAAGGGGGAGCTGAAGGGGGAGCTGAAGGGGGAGCTGAAGGGGGAGCTGAAGGGGGAGCTGAAGGGGGAGCTGAAGAGGGAGCTGAAGGGGGAGCTGAAGGGGGAGCTGAAGGGGGAGCTGAAGGGGGAGCTGAAGGGGGAGCTGAAGAGGGAGCTGAAGGGGGAGCTGAAGGGGGAGCTGAAGGGGGAGCTGAAGGGGGAGCTGAAGGGGGAGCTGAAGGGGGAGCTGAAGAGGGAGCTGAAGGGGGAGCTGAAGGGGGAGCTGAAGGGGGAGCTGAAGGGGGAGCTGAAGGGGGAGCTGAAGGGGGAGCTGAAGGGGGAGCTGAAGGGGGAGCTGAAGGGGGAGCTGAAGAGGGAGCTGAAGGGGGAGCTGAAGAGGGAGCTGAAGAGGGAGCTGAAGGGGGAGCTGAAGGGGGAGCTGAAGGGGGAGCTGAAGGGGGAGCTGAAGAGGGAGCTGAAGGGGGAGCTGAAGGGGGAGCTGAAGAGGGAGCTGAAGGGGGAGCTGAAGGGGGAGCTGAAGGGGAAGCTGAAGGGGGAGCTGAAGGGGGAGCTGAAGGGGGAGCTGAAGGGGGAGCTGATGGGGGAGCTGAAGAGGGAGCTGAAGGGGGAGCTGAAGGGGGAGCTGAAGGGGGAGCTGAAGGGGGAGCTGAAGGGGGAGCTGATGGGGGAGCTGAAGAGGGAGCTGAAGAGGGAGCTGAAGGGGGAGCTGAAGGGGGAGCTGAAGGGGGAGCTGAAGGGGGAGCTGAAGGGGGAGCTGAAGGGGGAGCTGAAGGGGGAGCTGAAGGGGGAGCTGAAGGGGGAGCTGAAGGGGGAGCTGAAGGGGAAGCTGAAGGGGGAGCTGAAGGGGGAGCTGAAGGGGGAGCTGAAGGGGGAGCTGAAGGGGGAGCTGAAGGGGGAGCTGAAGGGGGAGCTGAAGGGGGAGCTGAAGGGGGAGCTGAAGGGGAAACTGAAGAGGGAGCTGAAGGGGGAGCTGAAGAGGGAGCTGAAGGGGGAGCTGAAGGGGTAGGGGGACTTGGGGAGCTGAAGTACTCACAAGAAATGTTAGTTTTCTGGTCCACAGTGCTAACCTCCAGTACTTGTGCGTGTAGGTTGACTGGGGCCCACTTGTACTCGCTCTGTGCTTTACACTCGCTCCTCTTAAAGCTGTGCTTGCTGCAGTGCCCCAGCTGGGCCAGCTCGTCCCGGTACTGGGATATCTTAGTGGCCCGGGACACGGCCGCTATCGAGCTTACTTCTTCTGAGAAGCCCTGTTGTAGTGGGGTTAACGAACATATTGGTTACAAACTTACTTTTTCTTATTTAACATGATATTTTCTGCAACTTCATCATAATACCTTACATTTCATGCTCAGTACCACGTGTGTTACCATGGTTACCGCGCCAATGTGGTACCGTAAGATCAGGATATGAATTGATCCGGTCTATTGAAATTTTGCCAATAATTGCAGTTTTTTACAATGAGTCGGGTCGGAAAATCCATGACCGATTTTGTTCATTTTGTGCCATTTTAACCAAAAATATTGTATTATTTGTTATCCAATAATAGGGAGAGTGATTTAAAGCCAGATAATTATGGACTTTGTAAAGCAAAATTGAACAAACGATTGCAGATGTGATATACAACACGTGTGTTACCATGGTTACAAATGATAAAACTCTAAAAACTGAATAAATTAGTAACTGCCCCATGCTATAAGTCTCATTAGTCTGCATCTAGACTATTAGTCTGCATCTAGACTATTAGTCTGCATTTGTGATAAACACAATAAAATACCAGTAACACACCCTCTTAAACACATCGCTAGTATTTTACATTCAGTGCTTCCACAAGTAGCAATATCTTAATACTGAGATATATAATAATTATTATTATAAGGTGGATAAAATCCACTGGTAACTACTGGTAACTACTGGTAAATACTGGTAAATACTGGTAACTACTGGTTACTACTGGTAACTATACACGTTATACATTGAGTGTTAAAATCGTGAAGACTTTGACCTAGATGTGTCGTTGATTTTAGCCCATGAGTTATTATTGAGACTTGGTATTCCGTCCGACACGGACCAGGACGATGTTTTGAGCGGAGCAGTTCCGAACAACTTAACATCCGTCTTCAATCTCTCTACCTTCTCGTACGAATCTGAGAATCTTCTGATAATGATTGTCATGGGAACGGTCATGAAAATCATGGAACAGAAAATGATGGCGGTAGTGAGGAAGAGTCCGACAGCGGTGACGGGGCGGATATTGCCGTAACCTATAGTTCCTATAGTGGTAATAGCCCACCAGCAGGACTCCAGGATTGAGTAGAACCTGGCGCTGTTAGCTCTCTCCTCCACGTAGAACATTATAGAACCTGAAATAAGAGTGCCAGTAGCCCACACCAGCAGCAACAACGACAGCTCCTCCTTACACTCCCGTAGGATCTGGAATATGAGTATGAGTTTCTTGGAGCGTCTGATGAGCTTCAAGCACCGGGCCACTCTGGCCATCCTGAACAGTTTCAGGATGTTCAGTAGGTCTCCCCTGAGATCCAGGTACCTCTCGAATATCTCCACGTAAAGGGGGATTATAGCGATTATATCCAACCAGGGCATCATCTCCAGGAAGAAGCGGTACTTGTTCTTACAAAACACCAACCTGCCCCCCAGATCCACTGTGAAGAATACGGCGCAGAAGATAGTGGTAACCCAGAAGAAGAGGTGCAGTTCGTAGTGCTGTTCCTCGTACAACTGGATCACATCCTCCGTTTTCAGAACGAATGTTATTACTGATATAATGATGAAGAAAATGTCCAACGCCATCCAACTCTTAGCAAACACATTAAAACCGGGGTCATTAAAGAACCTGCGTCCCTTGTCCCACACAGTGAGTACCGGCTCCTCCTCACTCTCCTCAGTTCTCTTGATGGACCTGTGTCCGATCTTGTAGAAATCTAACTCTATCTCCAACAGCTGGCAGGGAATGTCGTCGGGAAACTCCATGTAACCGTCGCTTGTCTGGTAGAACTGCATGATGTGCTCGAACACGTACCTGTTCCTGTCGAAGAAGAACATGCCTAAAGCGGGGAGGTAATACTCTGCCATTTTATCAGGGTCAGCTAGCAAAGAGTCCGGGTACCTCTTAACCTGGTCCAGAGTGAGTTCAAACACTCTGCCGGACACGCAGATCTTCAAGCAGCCGTTAGAGGACAGGGGAGAGGGCACACTGAGGGGCTGTAACCCTGGATACAGGAAGTTGTAGTCCCGGTTACCATGGTTACCTAGCATCGGGGAGTTGTCACGTGACATGTCCAGCATCTTGTCGCTAGCACGTGACCTGCAGTGCTGCTGCTCCGTTGTCATGGTAGCGATTATCGTGGTGCTCATGTTATTACTCGCCATATTGCCTGACTTTCTTCTTACTGCAACGGATAACGCTTTCATAGTGTACAAGAAACAAAAAACTGCATAAAATAGCATAATGTATTCAAAATACGAACCAGTATCTGATATGTCAGAAAACAGCACTGCTGAGTACAGGAAACAATTTAAATTACAGTAACTCCAGGGGGAACATGTTGTCATGACATCACATATCACACGTTGTCATGACATCACACAAAATGCAGTACTAACAAACATGAAGCTAATGAGAGTAACTCGCGGCAGAGCCCTCGATACAAATAATATTACTATGGTTACTGTGGTTACTATGGTTACAAATACGAATAAAGCAAACGGTAAAGGAAAATACCAAACAACTAGTATAGGGGGAGTAATAATATGAAAATATTTAAGTGTGAAATCGCTTAACTACCTATGAAGTATCCATTGAAACAGTCAATTAAAAGATTAAACATGACCCCCGGCCCCCCCGCCCCATAATTCCCAACCTCGTTCTTATTTTCGCACGGTATTTTACGCCTTTTTAAAAACTATTCATTTCTCAATAAGTAACACGGACAAAATACGTTTCAATCTATTACATTGGTTGGTTCTTGCAAACATGTTATTATTTTTCTTCCTAATAGTAAGGGACAATAAGCATAAATATAAAACCCCTGGGAACTAATTTGCCACCAGCATTTTCGGACAGGAATGTGTTATCCATAAGCAGGGAGGTTACCATAGTTACTATTGTCCCAGGCACTAACCCAAATACTCGCAATTCTCATATCATGGCTGGCAGATGATGATTTGAAAGTGCTAATATTTTTAGAGTTGTGGTCGATGCAATAATTATAAAGGCGAAAGTGCCATTTTTGCGGGAAAATGCGTAAGTCTTTCGACGACGACTAGAAAAAGAATTATTTTAGGGCATATGTTGGGTGTTGTTCTTCATAAGTTGTATATAAATATGGCCTCTGCGAACATTTCGCACTTATTTGGAAGTCTCTGTGGAGCAGGGAGGTTACCATAGTTATTATTTGTAAGCAGGGAGGTTACCATAGTTACTATTTGTAAGCAGGGAGGTTACCATAGTTACTATTTATAAGCAGGGAGGTTACCATAGTTACTATTTGTAAGCAGGGAGGTTACCATAGTTACTATTTGTAAGCAGGGAGGTTACCATAGTTACTATTTGTAAGCAGGGAGGTTAACATAGTTACTTTTTGCTCTATATAGATTTCAGCATACTCATTGAGTATCTTGCGTTACTCGATACAGTTGTTACTAATACTCAATAACCTTACTATATTAAGACAACATACTATTATGGTAAGGTTCTTATGGGTATTCTGAAATTGTGTTAATCAAATTACAGCTATCAAGATTCAGATTAAATATTTTACGACGAATTTTATTCCAAACAAAATATATAACCGTAAAATAGTTTAATGCGTTAATGAAACCGGAGAAAATATGAACGAGTTCCAGGAAATCCCAGTATAGACAGGTTACTGTGGTTACTATGGTTACTGTGGTTACTATGGTTACTACAGTATATAGATGTTAACACTATAATGAAATGTAACTATGTTAAAAGGACCGGGCGCTTGCCAGCGCTGTTAAGGGTAATGTCCTAGAATTGCTTTAATACTATCTTACTATGGCCACACAAGGTCTGAACGTTATCAAATTGCTTGTTCACACGGACAATAGAGAGACAAATGTAAATCAGTAACTTGTTCTGATAATACAAGATACGACAATACAAAGCAGCAAATAAGTAACTAATAATACTATATATATAATACGCTAAAACTAACTGTATAAAGCAAGCGCCAGCTAGTTACAGGGAAGTACATATAAAAATGAGTCTAGGAAAATATTTTGAAACGTACTGTGAAGAATTGCTACGTTGTAAACACTAAAAAATCACGATAGACTGATACAGCAACTACGTAACAGTGTGACTCACAGGACAGCGGCCTTGCATCCTACACTTCATGTAGGATGCAGGATTACTGTAGATAGACTTGCGTCCTACATGTAGGGTTGCATGTAGAAAGACACTACCTACCCCCAGCAGATGTGAAGATTCACAAACAAGTGGCAAATTATGTATATCGCTGAAACAGTGGCCTATTTTAGAAGTTTTGTCACACTTATAAAGTTATAACAAGTTAAAATAATATGCCTACTCAACTCAGCTGACTACTCAAGCGAAACCGAGATATCTTTTAAACAAGGCGCGCTGACAACAGACCAACCCGCTAATGTTGCGGGGGACAACACACCAACCTGCTAGTAGTCTGACACGTTTAGAGGGGGACAACACACCAACCTGCTAGTAGTCTGACACGTTTAGAGGGGGACAACACACCAACCTGCTAGTAGTCTGACACGTTTAGAGGGGGACAACACACCAACCTGCTAGTAGTCTGACACGTTTAGAGGGGGACAACACACCAACCTGCTAGTAGTCTGACACGTTTAGAGGGGGACAACACACCAACCTGCTAGTAGTCTGACACGTTTAGAGGGGGACAACACACCAACCTGCTAGTAGTCTGACACGTTTAGAGGGGGACAACACACCAACCTGCTAGTAGTCTGACACGTTTAGAGGGGGACAACACACCAACCTGCTAGTAGTCTGACACGTTTAGAGGGGGACAACACACCAACCTGCTAGTAGTCTGACACGTTTAGAGGGGGACAACACACCAACCTGCTAGTAGTCTGACACGTTTAGCGGGGGACAACACACCAACCTGCTAGTAGTCTGACACGTTTAGAGGGGGACAACACACCAACCTGCTAGTAGTCTGACACGTTTAGCGGGGGACAACACATCAACCTGCTAGTAGTCTGACACGTTTAGAGGGGGACAACACACCAACCTGCTAGTAGTCTGACACGTTTAGCGGGGGACAACACACCAACCTGCTAGTAGTCTGACACGTTTAGAGGGGGACAACACACCAACCTGCTAGTAGTCTGACACGTTTAGCGGGGGACAACACACCAACCTGCTAGTAGTCTGACACGTTTAGAGGGGGACAACACACCAACCTGCTAGTAGTCTGACACGTTTAGCGGGGGACAACACACCAACCTGCTAGTAGTCTGACACGTTTAGAGGGGGACAACACACCAACCTGCTAGTAGTCTGACACGTTTAGAGGGGGACAACACACCAACCTGCTAGTAGTCTGACACGTTTAGAGGGGGACAACACACCAACCTGCTAGTAGTCTGACACGTTTAGAGGGGGACAACACACCAACCTGCTAGTAGTCTGACACGTTTAGAGGGGGACAACACACCAACCTGCTAGTAGTCTGACACGTTTAGAGGGGGACAACACACCAACCTGCTAGTAGTCTGACACGTTTAGCGGGGGACAACACACCAACTGCTAGTAGTCTGACACGTTTAGAGGGGGACAACACACCAACCTGCTAGTAGTCTGACACGTTTAGCGGGGGACAACACACCAACCTGCTAGTAGTCTGACACGTTTAGAGGGGGACAACACACCAACCTGCTAGTAGTCTGACACGTTTAGAGGGGGACAACACACCAACCTGCTAGTAGTCTGACACGTTTAGAGGGGGACAACACACCAACCTGCTAGTAGTCTGACACGTTTAGAGGGGGACAACACACCAACCTGCTAGTAGTCTGACACGTTTAGAGGGGGACAACACACCAACCTGCTAGTAGTCTGACACGTTTAGAGGGGGACAACACACCAACCTGCTAGTAGTCTGACACGTTTAGCGGGGGACAACACACCAACCTGCTAGTAGTCTGACACGTTTAGAGGGGGACAACACACCAACCTGCTAGTAGTCTGACACGTTTAGAGGGGGACAACACACCAACCTGCTAGTAGTCTGACACGTTTAGAGGGGGACAACACACCAACCTGCTAGTAGTCTGACACGTTTAGCGGGGGACAACACACCAACCTGCTAGTAGTCTGACACGTTTAGAGGGGGACAACACACCAACCTGCTAGTAGTCTGACACGTTTAGAGGGGGACAACACACCAACCTGCTAGTAGTCTGACACGTTTAGCGGGGGACAACACACCAACCTGCTAGTAGTCTGACACGTTTAGAGGGGGACAACACACCAACCTGCTAGTAGTCTGACACGTTTAGAGGGGGACAACACACCAACCTGCTAGTAGTCTGACACGTTTAGAGGGGGACAACACACCAACCTGCTAGTAGTCTGACACGTTTAGAGGGGGACAACACACCAACCTGCTAGTAGTCTGACACGTTTAGAGGGGGACAACACACCAACCTGCTAGTAGTCTGACACGTTTAGAGGGGGACAACACACCAACCTGCTAGTAGTCTGACACGTTTAGAGGGGGACAACACACCAACCTGCTAGTAGTCTGACACGTTTAGCGGGGGACAACACACCAACCTGCTAGTAGTCTGACACGTTTAGAGGGGGACAACACACCAACCTGCTAGTAGTCTGACACGTTTAGCGGGGGACAACACACCAACCTGCTAGTAGTCTGACACGTTTAGAGGGGGACAACACACCAACCTGCTAGTAGTCTGACACGTTTAGCGGGGGACAACACACCAACCTGCTAGTAGTCTGACACGTTTAGAGGGGGACAACACACCAACCTGCTAGTAGTCTGACACGTTTAGAGGGGGACAACACACCAACCTGCTAGTAGTCTGACACGTTTAGAGGGGGACAACACACCAACCTGCTAGTAGTCTGACACGTTTAGAGGGGGACAACACACCAACCTGCTAGTAGTCTGACACGTTTAGAGGGGGACAACACACCAACCTGCTGGTAGTCTGACACGTTTAGAGGGGGACAACACACCAACCTGCTAGTAGTCTGACACGTTTAGCGGGGGACAACACACCAACCTGCTAGTAGTCTGACACGTTTAGCGGGGGACAACACACCAACCTGCTAGTAGTCTGACACGTTTAGCGGGGGACAACACACCAACCTGCTAGTAGTCTGACACGTTTAGAGGGGGACAACACACCAACCTGCTGGTAGTCTGACACGTTTAGAGGGGGACAACACACCAACCTGCTAGTAGTCTGACACGTTTAGAGGGGGACAACACA